TACAAATAATTAAATGTAATTTGATTTTGTGCTTAAAACAAATATAATATTTATATTCAGTCGCATAGGAATTATTCTCTTTGAAACTATCAAGTATCAGCCAAGCAATGACAGAAATTCGATTCCAACACTAATATTGAAGCGAAAACGCTTTACATTACATCGAGTTTTAAGTTGAAAATTCTTTCATTAGAAAGAGCACATTTAATTACGTATCCGATAAGAAAATCTTACTGGTACACCTCGAAAAACCATAGTTCATAAGACTGAGAAACGCAGCATTTGTAACTGTATGACTCGATCGAGGCTGGTATTTAAAATTTATCGAGAGAAAAAAGATTGAATATCTAGGTCGTTCTTATATATTCTGACAGAGAAAAACATTGTGCATCGAACAGGCCTATTTTAAAACAGTACAAATCGAATATTCATGGGTCTTCAGGTCAGAAACTGTTTTTAAAGCTCTGAGAGAGTGCCTCATATCTTTCTTATTATTCAATGAAATTCAAAATTGAGACAATAATTGTAATCAGAAAGCTTAGCTTTATGGAAATATAACTATCTATATTAAAGCCAGAAGGAAAAAGGTTTTTTGACCCTTGAGAGGGGCTCCAGGTGTTAAAAATTGATTTTTCATGAAATACAAAATAAAATTGAAAAATAATCAGAATTCAATGATGATTTTCAAGCTAATAAAATTATGTGCAGGTTTTTTTACCAAGGAGTATGGCATTTTGTACAATGTTTTTTGGATACCTGAGACAACGCAAAAGCTGTATAAATGAAATGGTGATAAAATGAAAAATAAACTTCTGAAAAATAATCAAAGCTCAGTGTTAGTTCTCATACTAATAAAATAAAGATCAAACTTTTTGGTATATCATATCGTAATTTGATATACGGTTACTTTCGAAAGATGGTTTTCTTTTTCTGTTGACTTTTTTATTCTGAAATAAATCTCATTTAGATTCTGTGAATAATTGAAGAAAAAATTCACCTCTACTATTGAAAATGAAAGTAGTTTTCCCGATTCATTTCCATACGACTGAAGTAAATCTCGCTATAGAAAAGGTGCTGAGGTGCTGGGGGTTCCAAACCTGCACTTTCCCCCTTGTGTGGTACTCATCTATCGGCTCATATTTTGATCAGTTTCATTATTCGGCGTGTTGATAGATGCATTCGACGTTGGTTGCGATGGAGAGAGTTGTGGTAGTGGAAATGAACTACGTTTTCGTCGAGCCGTGTAATCCGTTTTCAAATAATTTAATTGAGAGTTAAAACTGCTATAAATTTTTTGTAATTGATCCTGTTTATTTCTCAATCCTGCAACATCGTTTAACATCATCGGCCAGATAAACGTATCGACTAATGATGCGAGTGTAGGTAGTAATTTCATTAGTGTTTCATTATGTAGCTCAACATCTAGAGATGTACGATTAACCTTCTCGTTATAATGCAATCTAATTTTTCATCGATACGCCGAGTATTATCTTTCATGTCCAAAATGTTTTGATTGATCGATAGCAATATTTTCGTTATATCTTCGATTCCATTTATATTGTTTGTTACTGCTGATTGTACTGAAGTTTGTTTCCATGGAGTAATGCAAGACATTAGTGCTGGTAGTGACGGGAATTCGTTTTGCTTCAGCCGAAATTCCGTTGGTTGAACATGATCTTGTGGCACTAAACGTTGTAGTTTACCTGCTGATAATGCATTTTCAACTTGTTCTTTTAGATTAGATCGATATTCAACTACTTTTTCACATTCACTAGATAACGAATGATGATATCCATCACACTGAGCACATCGGACTGTATTCGAACATACATGTGTTTGACCGTTAATAAGATTATCAAGACATATTCAACAACGTTAATATTCTACATTACATTTATCTCTCATATGACCTAAACACCAGCAACGAGTACAATAAGTCATTCGATTACCAGTCAGGAATGGTGTAATAGTGCAAAAAGTATTTCCAATCGATATTCGACCTAATTTTAAAGTTGAATTATATTCATCCAAATCTTTAATAACGAAACGAAAATCATTTGTTCTTCTTTGGAAACGATACTGAATATGTCTGATATTTTCGACTGATTGAAGATTTCGTTTAATTTCTTCCTTGACAAACTCGTCATCGTACTGAAGCGGTACATACCGAATCACGAGCGCAAAGGAATCCGGAATAAATTTTGGCTTACTCACGGTGATGTTGATATTATTGACTTGTGACGGCCATTTATCCGTATCTATTAATGTTGCATACAACTCTTTGTTGTTAACTGTTCAAAAGGAATTTGATGTTGTTGTTGTACTGATGCTTGTTGTCGAGGTTGGTCCAATTGCAGATTATTGTTCATTTGGTGTACCGGGCTTGTAACCTTCGAAAAATTCATTTCACGCGTCGTTTTTTGTTTACCGTTCGATAGAACCCGTTGTTGTTTTGATATCTGTGCACCATCATTATCACTTGAACCTAAATTTCGTTTAGGCGCTTGTATGTATGTATGTATGTATTTATACCCATACCAAACTTGGTTTAGGGTGAAGACAAAAAAGTTATACAAAAAAAATTACACAAAAAGAAATATTCTAAAGGTCATTTTATTTTTCGATCGTCGCTGAGTTCAAGTAAAGCAATGGTACTTCCGGTTGTCACCTCCAAGCCATAATGACATGGTTTCGATGACCACCTTCATTGAGCACTCTTTACTTGCAGCGAGTTTCTTCAACATTGGTTGAGATCACTTGTTAGTCAATTTGAATTCCATGTTGTTGACACCATTTCTTTGCACAGGACCTTGTGTGATTGGTTATTCCTTGTGGTTTGAATTGTTTCTTGCAGTTCGGGCATGTGTATGTGTTGTTGTTATTTCGACATAATAGCTCAGTGATTTTTGCGGGGGGTGATAATGTTATGGCTCGTCTTTGAACAGCACGTTGTTTAACTTGTTGAATGATATTGAGTATGTCAGGCATAGGGGGTTTGACTTGTGTGAATTGGTTTATGGTTCTTCTCCAAGAATCTCGATCAAGAGTTTCTCTTCTCCAATTGTGGATATTCATTTTTTCTAAATCATCTTGTATTCTATCTTCCCACTTCTTGAACGTACCAACATTACAAGGTCTTTTAGATTCAGCGTAGTACGAGAACATAATCTTTTTCATGAAAGATGGGTCATCATTTTCACCCTTCATTCTATTCAAGTGGCCGAACCAGCGGAGGCGGTTTCTCCGAAGAATATTTTCAAGACTGGGCTGACCAGTAATTTGAAAAAGTTGTTCGTTTGACATTCGGTCCCAAAGATTTGTTCCAACAATCGTCCGAAGACATCGATGATAGAATGCACACAGGCGTTGCTCCAGAGCCACTGTTAGTGACCAAACTTCGCTGCCATAGAGTAATACTGGTAGAACACATGATCGGAAAATGCGAAGTTTTGCCTCGATAGATACTGTTGCTCGATACCATACTACATGACGAAGCATATTAAACGCCGTAGTGGCTTTTTCCAAACGCATTTCTATTTCACGATCGAACGAGAAGGTACGAGTGAAGCAACAACCAAGATAACAAAATTCATCCACCATTGCAAGAGTATCATTTCGGATGGTTATGTCGATTAATGGATGTATAATCTCTTCACCTTTAATAATTTTTCTTGATGCATCCACTTTGAGTTGTCTGCATTGCATAACACATGTTTTCTTGATGCTCATTGTGATACCATATTCTTGTGAAACTTTTTCGAAAACTCCAACAAAGAGTTTTAGATCTGTAACATTGTCGAAACAACCAACTACATCATCAGCATAGAGGAGTGCTAGCATTTCGATATCCTTATTGTTATTACTGGTTGATTGAAAGAAATCTCTTCCATATGCTAGTTTCACACCTGTGACATTTAGTACGACCAGTCGGTCAAGGACTTGACGCATCACAAAATCAAAGAAAACGTTGAAAAGAATTGGTGATGGGATACCACCTTGCTGCACACCAGTTTCGATATCAAAAGGGTCAGATAATTCCCCGTTGATGCGCACTCTTGCTTTTGAATCTTTGTATAAAAGTTGAAGCAGTCGAACAATTTTTGTGGTGAGTCCATAGTGCCTGCATATACACCATAAAATTTCACGATTAATAGAATCGTAGGCTTTTTGTATATCAATGAAGCATAGGAAAAGTGATTTGTTATGGTCTCGTGTTTTCTCCATCAATAGTTTAAGTGCGAAGATATGATCAATGGTAGATCTATTCGACTGGAAGCCAGCTTGTTGCTCCATAATTTGAGTTCCCAAGTGCTTCTGCACACGATTCAAGATAAGTCGAGAGAAAACTTTGCTTGCCACTGGTAAGAGAGAGATTCCGCGGTAGTTACCACAATCTCGTTTGTCACCTTTGTTTTTGAACAGACGAATTATAATTGCTGTGGACCAATCTTCAATTGTTTGTTCCTCCTCCCATATTTCGACGAAAACAGTATGAAGACGTGTAGATAGAGCACGCCCTCCAGCCTTGATGACATCGACTGATAGTCCATCCATACCAGGTGCTCTCCCACTTTTCATTCGCCGTATTGCTTCTTCAACTTCTAGTAACGATGGAGGTTTGTCCTGTCGATTTTGTTCTTCAGTAGATAGCTGAGGGATTGATATACGTTGCATGATTGACGGATCAACTGTGGATGGTACATTAAGAAGTTCACAGAAATGTTCACTCCATCGGCGAAGACGTTCATGACCATTAATGAGCAGGTTTCCTTGTTTGTCATGGATAGGCATTTCTTCGATTTTAGCTTTTCCTCCTTTGAGTCTTCGAATCATTCTATATGCTGTTGCAGGAGCATGCTGTTTGATTGCTTGTTCAATTTCGAGGCTCAGCTCATCCCAGTATTCAATTTGACGTTCTTCAACCTTTTTCTTTGCTTGTTTTCGAAGAGTACAATATTGTTTACGATAATTGCTCTTGGCATGTACCTCGGTGATTTTGCCATTGAAGAAAGGCGTGTGATTTTTTATTCACGATATCTAGGATTTCATTTGTTAGCCATTCCTTATATTTTCTTTGACGTTCAGTCACGCCGAAGAAATTTTCACTGAGTTCTTTCACGATATTTGAGAGTTCAGTGTATTTTTCATTTGTTGAAGATGCTGTTGATATTGAACATGTTGTAGTGGCAAATGCGGCTTGAAATGCTAGGACAGTGGCAGGATCACACAATTTCCTCTTGTCCAAGTTTCTAGATTGTTTGGCTGTGGACTTCTTTCGACTCTTAAGATGAAGTCGGACTTTTGATCTTATCAGGTGGTGGTCTGTTCCTATGACTCCAGCTGCTGTTCGATGCACACGTACATCCTCGATGGTTGATCTGAATTTTCTATTGACAAGAGTATAATCCAGCATATGCCATTTTTTGTTGCCTGGGTGCATCCAGCTCATTTGATGAATAGCTTTGTGCTCGAAGAAGGTATTAGCTATAATAAGGTCGTTAAGAGAGCAAAAGTCTATGAGACGTTGTCCATTTTCATTTAAATCGTCCACTGCGTGAATACCCACCACGCTTGACCCAGACAGGTGTTGTTGTTTACTGACTCTTGCATTGAAATCGCCCATAACGATAAGTATATCTTTTCTTGGAGTTTTATTAATGGTTCGTTGTAAGTCGATGTAGAAAGCGTCGGCGTTGTCACTTGCTGTTGTTTGACCAGGTGGGGGATTAATAGGAGAATAAATGCTGACGAGTGTAATCGAAACTGGGTGACACTGAAGTCGGGCAGTGATGATTCTTTCACTAACAGCCTCCCATATGGAACCACCATCTTTCCAAATCTTGGTTGCTTGTTCTCCCAAACAGAGAGCCACGCCATGAGCTGATCTTATTTTTGTTGCACTCGGGGCTCCAGAATGAAGAAGTGTATATTTACCAATCTTGGTGACCCCAGAGTCATACATGGATGTTTCGCAGATGGCTGCAATTTGAATTTGATGTTTGAGCAGTTGTTTGATAATGAGTTCTTTCTTCCATTGTTGTCGACACGATCGAACATTCCAGTGACCAAAGAATGTGGATTTGCGTGCGCTTATGCACGGTTCTATGTCTTTTTCGTTAGCTAGATAGGTTTAGTGTCCATTTAACAGGTAGCTAGCCTGAGAGACAGACGGTTTGGCTACCGGCAGCCCAGGGGCGCCTCCCAACCTCTACGCAAGTAGAAGTGGGACCCTGTAGATGTCAAAAGACATCTCCGGCAGGCGGGTAGGGAGAAAGCATGCTAGAGCGAAGCCTTCAAGGTGTTAATGATCGAGAGGCTCTTCAGAGCTTTTTTGCTAAGCACTATTGTTGCTTTGAGCATTTAGAGCTAGTTTACTGCATAGCTTTTGATAAGTTACCTAGAATTGGTACAGAAACATCTGGTGATGGAGGTAATAAGATCGGGTGAGAAGGCGATAAACCATGTGGAGATGACGGTAAAAGATGAGGAGTATTTTGGATGACGGGCGATGGAGGTGGTAAAATTGGTGATGGTGTTGGAATTGTCGGCGGTGGAGTCGAAACCAAAGGCAACGACGTCGGAGCCACCGGTGAGCGAGGTGGTACAACTGGTGCTGCCGGAGGTGTCATTGGTTTCTTCTTTTCGATAACTAAAATATTTAGATAGATTAGTCGAATAGCTTCTTCTATCTTACTTCCATTGTCGAAGTAAATTACAAATGCCAATTTGGTTTGGTGTACAGCAACCTTGGCATTGTTTTTCTTCGATTTGCGTTTAGTCACCTTTTCTAATTTGGTTCAAATGTCTGCGCATGCATTCATTGATAGTGTCTGAGTTGCCATCGATGAATTGTAAGTTACTCCCAGGTGGATCAAAACGGACCACTGTAACCCGGCGTAACATTACCGTAAACGGGCGTTTTTGCATCGTATTCCGTCGTAAAACGGCCGTCTTAAGCCGAATTAAGGTGTTTTAACAGGGGCAGTATTACGGCCATACTCGGACATCGTATATCAGCCGTAAAACCTCGTAAAGCCGGCGTCATATTATCGTATTCTATAGAACATACGGCTGTATTACTGCCCCTGTTATACGGGGAAAATACGGCCCGTTTTACCTGCTGTATTTGTATCGTATACGACCGTTTACTGATCGTTTTCTTCGACCGAGGCTATTCTTGATCTTGAGAATAGCTTGTTTCGTTGTGGCCATTCTAAAATAGTAAAAATAAAGCAGTTGTTAAATTTTCCTTTATATTCAATAAAATTATGATTGTGATATTAAAAACAAAAAATTCATCGAGCTGATAGTGAGATTTATGATGCTCGCCATCAAAATAAAGATAAAAATTAGTCTTATAAATTTTTCTAGGATTGAAATCAGAACTGTTTTGCCTTAATTTCTTAGGAAAGATCTGGACACTGATTATTAAAAATAGATATGTTGATCTTATTTGTTTTCTTTTTGTCTTCTAAGTTTTCAGTCTAATGGTTGAACATGTTTTGAATATGACTGTTGACGCATACAAAAATAATAGATTTTTATATTGAACACGATCCTAAACTAGATGAAATTATATGAAGAATCTCCGTACAGATTTTTATTTATTAACTAATACATTAAACGTTTTTTTTAGAGGAAATTTAACAAAATATGCAAGTAAATGCATATGTTATCAGTAAAACGAAAAAATAATCGTTATCCTCACTCACGTATACAACATTGTTGTATATGTGTTTAACTGGTATGTTCTTTTTTTTTGAATATTAAAATAATAAAATAAAATATTTACTTTTAGTCTTTTATTAATAAAATGAATTGATTTATTTTACAAGGAACTAAATCACTCTGGTAACAGAGATTTTTCAAAGAAAACGTAAAGTTTATGATCAAAAATCTTGATCATTATCATCCCCATCACAGCTAGTCAACATTTACAATCGATAAAATAACTGGTTTAAAAATCAACCGTATTATAGTAATTTATATCGAATCTATTGACCGAATTGTATTGATATTTTAAGAAAATTAATCGAATTATTTTAAAGATAAATTAATTGAGAAAATGATTTAGATAAGCAAACTTGAGAACGTTTTTTTACAACAAAGACGTCACTTATTCGATTTAAACTTTTCTTAAGCCGACAAATTCAGAAAAGCAAAATACTTTATATAAACATTAAGAAAGATTTTGATAGCTTTTGTATTCAAGTTTTCTTTTATTAGCATGGAGTGATCATCCCCAGGTGAAAGAAAACGGCCCGTAAACGGCCTGAAACGGCATAAAAACGATGTAAAACGTTAAAAAACGGCGCCGTTTTCCGTCAGCTCGGAAAACGAAGAGAATAGTGTTAAAAACAATGGCCGTTTTATAGCAGTTTCAGGCCTTTTCCGATGACCTTTCAGACGGCAGGATGATCCTCCTGGGTCATGATCAATATATAGTATTTTGAAAAAAACCTAGCCAAATTTCAAAGATAAAATAAAAATTTATTCTTATAATTAGATCAAGAATTTTTTTATTAAGTCGTAATGATAACTTTCGTAGAATAGAGAAAAATGATATACTAAAACAAGCTGCCCATTTATGTGTACAAAACCATTCAACGCATGATGCAAAAAAGAGTAGATAGCTGTAGCTTTCATTTGTATAAATGGTCAAATCTTTAATATTGACTATGAATGAGCAGTTAAAAGACTATTCGAATAAAAATGAAACATAAAGTTAACATAGCATAATCAATAGAATAGAGACCCATATTGCCCATGCTATCGCGCATTATTCGGCTTTTGATAACGTTTTTAATTAGAAGATAATTGTATGTTGTATAGGCAAATTTTATTTTACTTCAAAACCGAAATAACCTATTTTTCTTTCGTTTGGCTGACTCCTTATAAATCACTTATTATGATTTGTCGAGATACTAGTGTTTGAAAGAAACTATTTTTGTATGCAAACAAAGGTATAATGATTCTGTTTTAGTGCATGTCAGCTCCACACTGCTTCGACTAGTATTTTAAAAGCAAATATATTATGTGACATAGTCATTCAAAGCATAGTTTAGTGCAGTAGCAGAGAAAAAGTCTGTTATTGTTCTCGTTTATCAAAGAAAATTCTAAATTTTAGATAAAGTAAATCCTTTAAAAAATCTGATTTTTACAACTTTCAATCCTTGTTTCGGTGCATGTATATTTTGAAATAATAGCGAAAAAGATCTTACTTATTGATTTAGTCGGAGAGAAGAAAAGACGTCGAAAAACAAAATTATTTCTATAAAGTAACTATTTTATTTAACAAAACAAATGTTATTTATACTAGCAGAAGAAGCAACGAGAAAAGAGGAGAAAAGTAAAAACAATTCAGTAGCACGTGTCACTACTGTAACCAGCTTGCTAGGTACAGCGAAACATATGAGAGACTGAACGATGTATCGATGGAGAGAGAGAGACAGATAGACAGGCAATGACAGAGAGAAACATGGGATGATCGTCAGTTGTATGTACTATTGGTGACGTCTACGATGTACATAAAGAATATATGCATGCGAAGAAAAGGAAAAAAAAGTCATATGGTGCATATGTAGAAAAGAAACAAACCTAGCCCTCAACTACGTTAAGAAAAACATAAATGTAATAATGAGCTATGTTAATTATCGAGATATAATTCAATACGACACAATACTGCTGCTGATAAATGTATAGAAGTATCGTCGTTTTTCTTCGGCATAGGTGAAAAATACTATTTCACAGTGCAAAAGTATAATAGAAATGATTTATGTTTATAAATTTACTTTTTTTCATAAAACGAAAACCAGAGGTCTGTCAGAATGCGAGGGAAACTATCAAATACCCGATCTTCTATCGTGAAACATGATCGTATTTATGACAAATTAGACGAAGAACATATCCACCTCAATGATCGTCCAAGAAGACAATGATCATTATCGTTGATTAACCTCATGTATATATAAACTGAACCACGAAAAAGAAACGTACATCACAACATCATCATTGATTTTTCTTCTTACTTTCTCTGGAAAAAATATCGACAATGCACACAACAAACGATATCTATTTGGATGAGGAGGTAAGTAAAAAATGCTATTATTCATCTCAGAATTCAAAACTTTTCTACAAACTATTCTTAGCGTTTAACACGATCATGAATTAGAAATATTTTGTTTCTTTTTAAAAATGAAATGATTTACAAACTTTGCATAATTTCATATTCCGATATATTCTTTAATATGGAAAACAGATATATATCAATGTAGTCTCATAATCAATCAAATAAGGGGCTTTGAAAATTTCTTCGACAAGTGATACTTCCATCATTCTTTCAACAGAGTTAAATATAAATCCAACCAGACATGATAATAAAGAAAGGTTCAGTGGATTACTCCATAGGTTCTCTGTCACTGAGAGATGTTTTTATCAGCCATAAAGTCGATGCACTGTGATGGTCAAAATAATTGTAATAGAAACCTTTTCCGAAAGAGAATGTCGCCTCTAAACTAAATAACTTACGAAATAGAAAACGATTTCATTGCTGCCGGTTTTGTCTCTAATTCTTGTAAGTCCTGAAGGTTAACAAAACAATGGCATTTTCTTTTATTATAGTTATGATATTTCTATTGAAAATGATTACTGATAGAGAGAATTCATAATATAGAATATCTTAGCGGTCGATAATTTCTAGAAAAGCAAGACTTGCATAAAAATAGTATCATACTAGTAACAGAATATGCCAGCAAGAATATATCGAAGAAAATATACTTTACTTTAAGAAACGAAGTAAATCCATATAAATTGACCTCCTTCTATGAATGTGCTCGAAAATGACGTTTAAACACCAATGTTTATTTTAATCTGTTGACGAGAAATATAGCACATGTATCATTGAGTATCGAAGGAAGAAATAACAGAAAATTATATTCTAATGATTCACAAAAAGTTCACTAATTATATCAATTAAATAATCCTTTGTATTTTAAATAAAATGCTTCTGCAAACCAAAGAGAAAGTAGTGATACCACCATAATCAGTAAAATGATCTTGGAAAAGTACTAAATGAAAAATATACTCCAATCAGGGACATCAAAATATGCCTAACAGGCTTTTCTTTGTTTTTATGATATTGATTTTATACTATTTCTCTTTGTAGGAACCAACGCCTGAATGGGTATTTGAACTTCAAGAAAAATTTCGTGAAGACATGGAAAAGATTCAGGCTGAATTTCGTGAAATAGGAAAAGAGTTGAATGAAATTAAAGTCGGAATCAAAAAATCGAACGACCTTATGGACTCATCAAATGAACTCATGGCCTCGGCTAGAGCACATTTTGCATCATCACATGAACACATGGCATCGTCGAATGCCAGAATAGAATCAGCAACATTAGAAAAAAAAATGTTATTGGAAGAAAGCACTAAAATACAGAACAAGATTCATAAAGCTGAAGTCGATTATGCAGAAACAAACAAATATTGGAAAGATTTGATAAAGAAAGAAACACAAAAACGAACTAAATCTCGTCGTGTTCAATCGTAAGTTTTCTATTCTAAACATATCTGTACATCATGATATTGAATTTCCTCTCTTTATGTTTATTTCAGTCGACAACCACCGATGAAACGTTTAAACAACAAAACTCATGATAACAAACCTACAAAGAAAAATAAGAATAAATGACAATCATTAAGTCTCATCAATTGTAAATGTTATTGTCGTTTTTTCTTTTGCTCTATTCTGTTCGTTAATATAAATATGTCACTTTGTAATCAATACAAAATCTTTGAAATAAACGGAGAATTTCTTAATTTCTTATTGCTACTTTATTATATTCTATAGGTGTTTGACTTCAATACAAATATTAAAAATTCTAATAATGCGTCTGATGAATATTTGTCAATGTTTAATTTTGGAATTTCGAGAAATAGATGAATTGTATTTCAAATGAAAAGATTTTAGATAAAGCTTTTGATGAATTTCTGTATTGTACAATGCAACATTGTTATTCTCAGGGAGAATAATAGCAGGAAAAAAATAATAATCATATTAACTATATCAATATTATCGAATAGGATTGATCCATGGATTTAATAAAATTATTATCGAAGTATTTAGTTTTTCTTAATTGAGAACAGAGTATACAAATCTCTATTGATCGATTCAAATTTCCTTGAAAAAACAAGATGTTTTTTTTTGTTTTCATGATGTTTTAATGTATGTTTAGTTTCTCCAGTTATATCAATCTTTTTTAAAAAGTATTCGAGTTGAATTTCAATGTTAATTATGGTCAAGTAAATATATGGCCTATTAAAGTGTATAATTATGTTTGTTTACATTCTTTCGAATAACACGCTGTAGCGGAATTCAAATTTCTCCTTGAATTATTGCTGAATGTGATATTTTATTAGATATAAAAATTAATTGGTAGTCATCAAAAGATCAGCGGTTAAATCAAGCGAGACAGATCATTCTTCAACACCGATCAATTCATAAACATTTTGTTGCCAAACATTGAATGGAACAGCAGTGTTGAAGTAAATCATTTTATATTGAATAGAAAATATTTTACTTAAATCAATCTTTGTTTTATATATTATAAATGAAGAGGACAAAAGTTCTGCATTCATTTATATTTTTCATCTCTTATTTTTATGCAATATATCGCAGAGATTTGATCTCGTTTTCGTTAGAACAACAAAGATATTTACTTAAAAAAATGTGTAAGAGAACTTCATCAAAAAATATTTTCTGAAGATTAGAAATATCTTACAACGAAAACTATCAAAGATTATTTGAAAACTGCAGCTAATTCTAGTCTTCATAGATATATACGTTTCTTTTCATATTATATTATAATCATTCATCGATCCCTACGTAAGACTTGACAACAGATAATTGACTTATAAAATTGAATTAGAAATCAATAATATGAAAACGAAATTTTCTGTAAATAACACTGAGAGAACGTATATTCTATTCAGAATCAAATCATTAAGTAGAGCATTTGATATAATTATGTTTTTCATGTAAAATCTATACCTCCTAACGAATTCTCTTTCGAAATAGAATTTAACTTTTTGTTTATGATCATGAGTTACTAAAACTTGGTAATATTAGAAGATGACCTCAATTTTTATTGTGTCTAACGTAAAATACATAAAACACTTGCTGTTTCAATACAATAATAGGCTCTTCTATACCTTCTAGGTTGGAAATTTAGACAAGATTAAATTGAAACTTTGTCTTATTTTATGAAGTGTTTTCTTAAGTGAAAAAAACTGCGACAGAGTTTCCTGATAGACATTTTTTGTTTTGAGAGTTTAACTTTCGGAAAATTGCGCTCGATTAAATGTATGAATATAATTTGTTTACAATAGGTTTTGCTCTTTCTAATAAAAAAGATCAAATCTCTATGATTTTTCATGGTAATACTAGATTCAAAGCAAAAACACATCAAAACTTTTGCTCCACCTGTTAAATAACTGTTTTCTTTTCATTACCCAACACAGACCATCATTGGGTCACAGCAATCAATGCGACTTTTTCTCTACACGCAAATTTCGCATTGATTGTTGTGGCCTTATGACGGTCTGTGTTACGGAGTACCTCGTTGTGTCCAACGATTTATTTTCATTTTACGATTATATTAGGTTCACATTCTACATTAGAAGAAAACTATTCATCTTGTCATTGTGCAACAAGAGTAAGTCAGGTTTAAATTGATGGTGAATCAATAGATTTATTTCGTTTAGGAGAATGACAATACTTTAATTATCGTCCCTGGCTTGTTTGATTCTGTGTTCATCTTTCAAAAATACGGCAAAGCGTTCCAACCAGTCATATAACTTAAATGCCATCTATTAATGATTGACCAGTTTTTGTTAACAATGATTTTTCCATCAACAATAGAACTAAAGTTAGCACATTAACAATAATGGGTTGATGATCTATTTCGAGTATGTGCACGAGTAAGTTTATTAACTGAATGTTTTTTTCTAATTCCCCAGCCAAGACAAGACATATTTTTCTGGAGACCACACCGATAATATGAGAGAGAAACATTTGTCAAAGATTTTGGACTCATTTCAAAAAAAGATGACTACATCTTTTGCTTAATTTAGAGTTCCAATTTATAATCTCAATAGATAAATCATCAGTGTGACGAAAGAAAAAAACAGTTATACTAGTTTTTACGAAACTTTCATTCGATTACAAATCATATCTACTAAACATTCTTGTAATACAACATTAAACATAAGTGAACAATTAGCACTGGATTCATGTTGAATTAGTAGCGTCGGAGTTGAAAATTCTAGCTTATAAGCCTGAATAAATTTTTAATCTTTGCACGAAATTGTTGATACATTCGATGTAAATCAGAGATTTTCATCAAAATATATTCAACGTCATGGACGATGTAAAAATGCTTGACGGAATGAATTAGAGTGCAATGTTTCCACAAAAATCACAATGTGTAAAAAAGACTGTTATTGCCTATTTTTGAGAATACCTTAAATATACATACTATTTATCTATCAGGATCATCCTCATCGAATTGCACACGTTTGGAAAACTGTATTACGCAAAGTCTCAAACCGAAAATTTGAAGAACTGAATTTCCTCCATTCATCATATACTACATGAAACTAGATAAATCACAAAGCATTAATTACACACCTAACTTAAACCAGTTATTTTGTCTGGAATCAAAAAGTTGATTAATTACGGATCCTAATCATTGAAATATCCTTCTGCAAAATATAAATACTTTCAAAGAACTTTTCATTTGCTGAACACTTTAATTCATTCTGACAGAGCGCTCTTCTTCTCAAACTGTTATAGATCTCAGAACAATGATCTTTGTTCACCAAAAAAATCCACTAGAAAATTTCAAGAAACTGATGCCGGATTTGAGCGCCCCGGTCCCGATAAGCTTTGCTCAAATTTAGTTAAGTTTGTGCATCAGCTTTCCTATTAGACGATCGAACGACGCTAGCTCACTTTTCGTATGACCCTCCTTTCAGTAGAGGCAGGAGTGTCCCAAAGCTTCCAACTTGGGGGCGGGGCACAATTTGTTTTCCTTGTGAAACTGATCTTTTTTTGGATTATCGGGGCGGGCCCCGCCGCCCCCCCCCCCTCCCTCACGGTCGGGACACCCCTGAGTAGAGGGAACATTCTAGTTTATTCAGCATGGACCTATGATTTGCCTTAATCCGTATATTTTTAGGTACAGGCAACTTTTGTGTATGTTCATGTCCATTATATTTTCCTACCTGAGTACCCAAATAAATTCTTCTTGCTACTTTTTCAGCTCTTGTGGACGCTACAGTAATTCAATAGAAGCGAAACTTTTAAACTTAATCTTAAATCTACCTGCAACAAATGCGGTGTACGTTTAGGACCACCTTCAATTTGAACTGCCCGGCAGACTGTAAAAAGAAATGGTAGAGTGATAAGCCTTTGTTCTAAGTACAACTTGGGATAAAATCTAGAACAGTTTATGAAACAAAATAGATTCATAACTATTAAAGTTAGTGTATTATGTTTAGATTCCAGGAGGAGGAGTTATTACTCTACCTGATTTTTTGCCACTATCTTCAATGCCCAAAGTTGCTAATTCACGCGAGTGCCAAAACCTCGTTGGCTGATTTAATCAAATTGACTTTGGTAAGTCAATCGTTGGTGGGATACTATTTGTTGCATTCGATATTGGTTTTGAAATTGTAGAGATACTTGATTGAGAATTCAACTGTAACGATGGTTGGATAGGAATTGAATCCCCGAACAAACTATCTTGTGCACGACTGTCTAATACTATACAAGTAAATAAATTGTAAAAAGCAAAAAAACAAATTTTCTTTTTTAATCTTTACATGAACTTTGGCTAGTAGTGGGCTCAACAGTTTCCATTGAACTTCGCGCTTTGTACAAAGCTTTTAACACTGTAGTGGCTGAACTTGCGAATTCTGAGAACCGTTTAAGCTGAACGTGAAGTGGTTTAGAAGCAGCTTCTCCATATGTCACGCCATTATTGCGATGCAGACATTCTAGCATAGAGAGAATCATCTTTTATAGTTGCCTGATGCGTTTTGTCACCTGAACGTTCCAAAGAAGAATTGATATTAGCAAGTTGGAGTTTGATAGAACTCATAAAGTCCTCAATGTTTTGAACAAGCGAGTTTCATGCCTCGATATCATCTGGCATTATCTAAAAATGCACAATCAAGAAGCAGCTTCTTTTGCAATAGAAACAATCTTGAAATGTTACACTGGCCTATATCGTGTTGATAGGAGAAGTTAGTTTATCATCCTGATTGAACATCTGCTTTGTTGTGTTTAAACCAAGTGACCAATTGTCTTTCACTGAATCGTTGAATAATTTTAAAATATTTGCATCATCCACTGAGAAAATTACATGGAGTTTATCATTGACATCGCATACACTGAATGGATAAAAACTTCGACTACGAGATAAAAGCAATGTTGATGCTGGCTATTTTGCATAGTTGAGGGTTATAAATGATGAACTGTCTTTTTTATTTTGATCAATAATATAAATATAAAGACTTATAGAGGATTTATCAACAAATTTTTGTAATCGCGATATTTCATCATGAAAAATTGTATCATGTGACAAAACGATTCCGACTATTTCTTTAAGATAATTACTAGCATTATCAGTAATTGAAGCAATTATCTCACTCATTTTAGATCAGCTCATATTGCATTTACCTTTTTGATAATTCTAGATCTTCTTCAATAGTAATGCCATCCTTTTCATCAATCGTTTTATTGTCAATGTTCGACACCATAACATAACCTGTTGTACTTGAATTTCGATCAACAAATATGAAATATCTGAGTAGATCGAATCGCTTTTAATAACCGAAAATATCCAATATTAAAACAGCATCACATGCAGGCCTTTTATTTCTGATTGACACACCTTACGGAGGAAGATTTGATCGAAATACTATTCTTGTTTTGTGTCATCAATTTTACCGGTTTAGCTTAGTTTTTATTTATTTATCAATGAATCTATTTGTCAATAATTAAATCAAAAAAACGAAAAATATGTCTCTTTTTTTTCAAAACAAAACAAAACTACCTATAGATTATATTGAGAAGTATCGATTTCTGGAATTTTTATATAATATATGAATAACACATGTGATGGAAAAATGGCGACATATTTGCCCAACTAATTATTATAAGATAAAAAGAGTATAATAATACGGATACAGATTTTTTTTCTTTGATTAAGAAAATCTTGCTTTCATCCCAAATTCATCAATTCACCGTACCAAAAGTATTTTTAGAAAATATTTTTCTTCCTATTAACTAGATATAAATAGCTTTTAAAGAATACGATATTTATTATTTTCATTTTGATACAACATATAAGAAGAAGCACTAGTAGATAAGTATTGATATCGGTGCCTATTCCATTCGGTGATTAATATCAACGACTAGATAGTAACAATTGGCAATGGTATTTACTTCTTAATTTTTGACAAATTAATTGATTAAGGGAGGACCTTTTATTATACCCGGTGCATCATTCTCCGAACTTGAAATGACGATTTTATTTTTGAAGCTTTATTAAAACAATAACAATAACAAACTATTTGTTTTTTTGTCGCTGTCGAGCTAATTCAAGTAGATTCGATACTAGACATGCCACCGTGATTGGACCGACACCACCGGGAACTGGAGTTATCCATCGAGCAACACGTTTTACTTCTAAACAAAGTACAAAAAATTAATATTCATTAAACATATGATATGATAGAAACGTTCGAAAAAATTCGGCTACAATCCAAGCTTTTGTAAGATCACTGTTTTCAAATTTAAGAAACAACTAGAAAAATTAATTCTTGAAAAATTTACCATCAAAATCAACATCACCAACAAAACATTTTTTATTCGCGACAGCTTTATCAGTCCAACTCTTTGATATACCCACATCAATAACAACAGCACCTTCTTTAATCATACAATGTTGTACCAGCTCTAGAAAAACAAAATTTCCTTTTTCTTACAGCCATCAAAACACAATAGATTTACTTGCACGACCAACTGCTGATATAACAAGATCTGCATTTTTACAATGCCATGTTAAATTATTTAGATGCGTATCACGATGACAAATCGTTACGGTCGCTCCACTTATTAAACTACTTTTCGAATCCGTCGTCGCTTGACTAAGCATAAGTGCCAATGGTGTACCAACATATTTTGAACGTCCAATAACAACAACATCTTTTCCTTGCAATGGTTCATTTATTTCCAGTAAAATTTCTCTAACTGCAGCTACGACCGGTATCGTTATCGGTGGTATTGATGTTTGTCGATATGAATTATAATTTGATGTGGTATGACCATCAACATCTTTATTTGATCGAATAGTGTCAATAAATTCTTCGGTTCTATCAACAAGATGTAATGGTAATGGTAACTGAAGAATAATTCCATCAACAGTATCATCATTATTCAATCGATTGATTGTATCAATTAAATTTGACGGTGCTATATGCATTAAATGATTAATAGCTTGAAATTCAATGCCTAAATTAAAATATAGAAAATAGTTATAAAAACCAATGAAAAACACTATTAAGATAAAACAACCGACGTGTTCGGCGATGCGTTGTTTATTTCGTATGTAAAGTTTACTAGATTCATTGCCACCAACAAGAATAGCGACTAGTTTTGGACGACGGTGATATTGTTCATTGAATTGTTCACATTCATGTTTACATCTGTTTAAAATACGTTCAGCTATTGGTTTACCATGCAGTATATTATTTTGCTTATGTACTGCTCGAACAGAGTGTGTCACAAGAAATCTGAATTGAACATATTTATAAATATCAATTGAATGATTTCAACCAGTAAAAACAAACCAACCTTGATGGAGTTCGAGTGAATTTAAAAATATGTTTAATTGAGAAATGAAACATTTTTTTGGGATCACTGGGCAAGAATATTATTTGTAGTTTATGAGAGCAGAAAAATGATTGTACATATATATAAGCCAGTCAATGAAATTCTTACGCCATCTGTACATTGTCGTACTAGTACGATATTTCCAATAAATATCTTATATTCTATCGGATAGCACTTAAAATTCTGTTCAAACTATTCACCATCGATGAGTGTCTACATGATAAATTAATATTTTTTACACTTTTGAAAACATGAATTGAATAAAGTTTGTATGACATGTTTTTTTAAATTTTATCAAAATAAAACAGATTATTTGAATCGGAACTGTGCGTTTACAAATAAAGTCATAGATAGCACCGTATATAAATACACGCACACAAACGAAACAGAAAGAAGAAAAAAGCAAACAAAGATCAGTTTTAATTAAGACCAAAATCGTAAACGAGATTTTATTGAACGAAAAGTTTCATCGGCAGATGAATCAGCCGATGAACAACGTACAAATCGTGGTAGAGATGCTTTACGTCGTCGTAATGGCGTATGGTAAATGGCTGTTGTCAACGATGAGGTTTGATTACTACATGGTGAACTACTTGCTCGAAGTATAGCAGAAACAGAACGATCTATAGAAAAATAAAAGCATTCAGAACAAAACAACGGATAAATTTTCTTACGTTGTTTTGTTATACAAGGGAATGCTCTCGTCGATTGATTAGCAAGATATTGTTGAGTTTTCAACGACGCTAATCTTGTGTAAAGTGGAACTTCTAAACCTTTCGTTAGATTTTCCTTTACGCATGCACGTTCATATTCTAATGCATCCATCATTTGTATTTTGTCTAATGGTGTACGATGTGAAAATAGAAAAGTTTTATTTTGTGTACGATCATGTAAACGCCAAGAAAAAAATACGTGAACAAGATTTTCATCATCTAAACGAATGCCTAAATAAAATAAGAAAATCAATAAAAACGAAAATAAATATTAATTTCATTTTTACCTTTTCCGTCGGCAAGATCTTCAATTTCTGCATTATCTAAATCAGCACGTCCAATATAAATTAATGTACTTCGTCGATCCTAGTTTTAGAGAAAAAAAGTTTTTTTCTTATTCAACAACGTTTTTTTTTTATTGCAAACACCTACTTTTCTACAAATAATGAGTACATGATCAAAAAGAAACAAAATCACTGGTTCTTTTTTTCCATTTTGATATAAATAAGCATCGGCACGGCCAAGTCCCTGTGTACTTGTTACAAGTATATCTTTTCCCTAAAATTACAAAATAGATAAGCTCAACACGATCATTTTGCTGCTCGACAACCGGAAACACATTCGAAAAGAGATGATTAACAACACTTTTGAAATTTCGTCTTTGATCATTATCGTGTTCATTAATCTTACCTGCCAACATTCAACTGTATGTTGCCATTTATGAATAATTTCGACGTAATCCATACGTCGTTTTCGTTCATTAATATAACTGGCAACATCACGCATTGTATGTAATGCGTGTTGAATATTATTGAAATCTTTATGTTCATAGGAAGTATATTTTAATAGTTCATTTAATTGCAAAGGATATTGACAAATACGTTGAATGGGTGTAAGAAGAAAAGCTTCTAATTTTAATTCAATCATATTTGCTTGCAATCGACATGTCTAAATCAATGATAAAATAAGAATTAAATAAGAAGAAAAAACTGAATAGATTTTATTTACTTCAAAAAAATTTCTATAAATAATATTATTTTCAAGTTTACTTAATTCTAAACACGATAATGGATGATTAATACAATAATCAGAATATTTTTTAAATTCTTCTTTCTAAGAAAAAAGGGAAAAAAATAAAAGTTCGTTTTTTTTTATTTCTTATGATTCTATCTTACATATAGAAGAAAACATTTTCCAATCAGACTTTCATGTGGATGTATATCGTCAATAGATAATTTTAATATTTGAAAAAATGATTGTTGAAATTCATAGATCTGTTCAATATTTCCCATTAATAATTCGATTTGTTTCTCCGAAAATAAATCGGTACGTAAACGCATCTTTTTTAAATAACCCTACATTAAATTAATTTTAGTAAAAACAAAATTTTTTCCATCATCTCAAAGACTTACGTCAACTAAATTTTTTAAATGTCCTAAATAATCATATTCCGTTTTATAGATTTCTTTAATTATATTCGAACGTTTGATAAAATTTTCATTGAGTATTTCAACATCATCACTCGTTGATAATATTTGATTACTTAACGAATGAGAATTACTTCGAAAGCCTATGCAAAAAAAAAAGAAAACAGATAATGAACAAAAAAGAAGACAAGAATTTTTACCAGAAGATGATGACGACGAAAAACAATTAAGATTTGAATTCGAGATAATCGGAAGATCTTCATCAATTAAAGTCGATGAACATTGTTTACGACGTAATTGTATTGGATCAAAATGATGATTAGGTGTTGGCTGAAAATGTAACAAAACAAAACAAAATAATAAGAGATGTACAAATATTTATTTAATGACAGAGGAAATTTATAATTAAGAATGAGATAAGAAAACATTTGTCTAAATCATTCTAAGGCTTATGCTTCGTTAAAATCGATATTTTCTAATTTCACATTGTAAATAAGACTCTCAAGAAGCCAAAACGTAAACGAACCACTAACTATCATAATAGACAACGCAAGTTCAATACTCTCCGAGAAGCAATAGAAATGAACATATTGAGTGTTGACTCATAAAAAAAAAGGTCTCATAAATTTGATATGATTTTGTTTTTGTCACCTAATTTACACATGTGACACCTTCGTTTTTCCCAGCGGTAACTGCAACTCATATTAATTTTTCATCGATAAAAATTTATTTCTTCAACTAACTTTTATTTTTTGTGGTACCGCTTGTTCAATGGCGATAGGCTGAAATTTGCATTCTTTGACATGTTGATAGTTACGTCGATTTTGTTTATCTAGTTTTCGTGTTGATATTTCTTCGTCATTCTGACGTTCCAATCGTTGATAGTGTCTGAGTGCTTCAGATATAAGTGAAGCATTACCTAACAAAAAAAAATAATAATTTAACAAAGAAATATATATATATATCTATCGTAAAGATTGCATGTGTATATTATCTCAATAACAGATCATTGGCATGATAAAATATAGATAAAGGAAATGAAAATCTCGACGCGTAAAAAGCTTTCACTCTTATTTCAACGCATTCCGACAGATACCAGGTGTCGTCTATCAAAAATAATTACATGCTCATTGCTCTCTTTTCCCTTTTTGTTTCTTATTCTATCCGTATTTTTAACAGCTCAAACGATTGTTGTTCTATTGATCAGGTGTACAAGAAAATCTTAACTCATTAAATATCGATTTTTCATTTTTTCTTGTTTTGTTGTTGTATTTTTTTTTCTGCTACATGGTTGTAAACGCTTTAATGTGATAAATGAGATAAATAACCTTGACTGATATTATGTTTATTTCTTTTGAACAGCTTGCAGATGTGTTTAGATTGAGTATGAATTAAAAGACAACTAGCTATTCGTAATTGTACACATGCCGACAGATAGTTATCGTCATATGAACTAGTATCCTGTTTTATTTTATTTTATTTTTTTATCAAATTCATTGACCTTCTCAACATAATCGGTATGTTTAAAAAACAGTTATACACCTTCTTCGATAGTGTGTGCGTGAATTTCGATCAGAAAACAAATCTTCAAGATCATTAGCACGAAGAGTCTTTCAACAAAAAGAGAAAATTTCTATTTCGACACATTCGCTTTGCTTTAAAACAACAATACAAATACGAATATTTTTTCCTACTGTGTTCTCCCTAAGGATATGATGATGAATGATTGATTCATATGTACATGTATATAGTAGTCTTGCTTTTTCCCGGAAATCACTTTTCAACACCTTCTGTATACATATCAATATCAATTGCACAAGACGTTAGGCATACATTTTTTTCTAAGCTTCTTTCTATATGTACATACTGACTTCTTCGTCGATAGGTTCAATCATCATCTTATTTGATTAACATCTTGACACAAACGTGTGTCTTCTCTTTGCTGAATTAGCGAATGTACACATCTATGCACTCCAATCATCATCACCATCCTTGATGAAGAGCGATAAGAACATGATGTTTCACTCTGCGTCTAGTTGACACGCGATCTTAACAAAAAAAAAAAATAAGGGAGAGAAAATGTGGGAAAATTATGTTCGCTCCCATCATCATCTTAGTTACTTAGCATTTTTTACCTAAAATCAATCACCCACGGGGATGATGATGATGTCTGTTTAATTCACTTATGTTCTCTCTCTCCTTTTCCCTTGATATGCTGGTAGAAAAATCTGCAAGCTTTCAAAAAATTGCTAACCTTTTGGTGTCGTCATTATTTATTTTATTGTTTAATTCATTTAACATTCTGTTTATCATTTTAATGAGCTATATAGAGAATATTCTACCATATGGACATTGAAGATATTTGATATTTTTCTTGTTACATAAGTTAAGAATTTATTTATATACAATTTTCAAAAAAAATAGAAGAAGAAGAAGAAGAAGAAGAAGAAGAAATTCGAAATGAATCATATTGATCTTTTTATTAAAAATCAAGTATGTTGATGTTTATGTTTGCCTCCCGGTAAAACACATCATAAACATCAGACGACATAGAGGAGCAAAAGGCAACGACCACTAACTGTGGTGCACACATGCAAATCATCATTCTTATACTCTGGCAACACCTGTATTGGCTCAATGGACACTTAAATGAGCAACGAATCGAGACGTCACGATGTATAAAAAGAAAATGTCAACGTAATGTGCGCATTTCGCTTTTTGATGTGTCAAGTGCCACAAGGACTAATGAACTCAAAAGAGCAACAGCACCTATTCATATATTCTCGTATGATCTTGTAAAAGAAACGAGTCATTGATCAATGAAGAGCTAGTTTATATTAAGACTTTCCTTCTTCTTTTTTTTTCTATTATAAATTAAATCTTCTTGTCAACTTCAACGATCAATCACATATCCTAGGGGAAGACGAATTGTCTACACGTGATTTCTATGATTGATAAAAACAAGAAATAACATCGAATGTAAAACCAACAGCCCCCTATCCTTGTTTTATATAAGCCAAACATGTCGTCGTCTTCTCAGTGGTCTTATATACACAACACACTCACAACAAGAAAAACACGATATTGAAAAAGAAAATAATCTTTTACTTACGTTTAAGACTACATCGTACAGTAACTGATGTTGCTTGTCCATTTTCTTTTATATAACGAAAACGTATTTTTCTCATTGTAATAAAACAATTTTATATGACGCGGTTTCGTTTTTGTGCTTTTCGTTGAATCTATGTGTTAGATGACTAAAAGACTTAATGATATGCGAGATATTCAATCTATCTCTGTTAGATGAGTAGAAGATCGAAAGAGAAGACAAGATTAAATAATATGAACCAATACGAGAATGAATATGATTAAAGCATACAGAAAGGAAGAACAAGAGAGAGAGAGAGAGGAGAAAAAAAACGAATTTTTATTCGTCTCTTTTTTTTCCACAGTTCGATTATATGCTAGCAGACAGACGCGAACGACGATGCGTTTTTTCCAAGTGAATGAACATGATACCTCATACTGTGAGAGTCGAAAAATCAACAATCGACTTCATCAAATAAAGTGAGACGAAAAGAGAAGCATCATCATTCTCAGGTGACCACTTCATCGAAACAACGGTATTCTTTACCCTCAAACCCAACTCATTTCCGCGATATGCATACAGGCGGAGTTCCTCAATATGCATCAACACCTTTGCATTGTTATGTAGTTTATTCAATCAATAATTGTAATATGAGCTTGAGGGAGAAAAGAACATTTTACTAAGTTGAATTTCAAATTTTCTCTTTTTTTTTATTAATCAATTCAGATATGATCAATGATCAAAATAAAACGGCTCCATAGAGACACGGTAGTGGTTGTTGTTGTTGTTGTTTAACAGATGGTCACTTACACGATTCATTGAGAAAACTATAATCTGATAATATGAATGGTCGATTTGACACGATTTTGATTATTCAGGTTAAATGATTGGCGATTGGGGAATTCAACCTACCAGAAAATTATGTTATCACATGAAATTTGTTTTTTTGTCGAGAAGATAAAAGACATTACAGATTGATCGAATCGTTATTTTAACGATATTTCGTTAATTTTTTTTGCTCAATATTACAAATAATAAATGTGGAAACATCGGATTCGCATCCGACTGTTATGTGTACTGCAACAACTGAGTCGAGTTATATATGTTGTGAATAATTCTGAGAAAAAAAATTTTTTTTTGAAAAAATCCCTGTACCCCCTCTCAGGGATGGTCTGGTCAATAATGGTATTTTTTCGATAACTCAGCCATTTCTTGACGGATTCTTCTCAACTTCGAACTTAACTGAGACATTGATGAGATCATTCTGTGTACAAAATTTCATGACAATTGGATGAGGTTTTCAAGAGTTATCGTGTTAACGACCCGACGGACACACTGACCGAATCTAGAGTGTACACACTTTTTGAGTACACAAAAATAAATCTTTGATGTCGTACAAAAATAAAACAAAATAATCGAATCAATTACAATAAAAACATAGGCATATCGTCTTTTTTTTTGTCGCAATGATATCTGATATTCTCATAACTTCTAATATATTCATAGAAAATTCCAAGTCGATCTGTCAATCAATAAAGATTCTATTGTTAGTACGATTGAAGTGTGACCTTTTTCAATTCTTTCAAATCATCGCTAAGTGTAAGTGTAGGCTTTATATGGGAAATACCAAAGAAAAAAAAGTTGTTCAGAGAAATAGATTCTATAAAAATGAATAACTTCAAAAAACAAAATGTCAATACTTTTATTGATGTATAAAGAAGGTAAGATAAAAGAATTCTATGTGTATACTCGAAATATATATATTGAGATCGAACAACACAACTTCTCATCGTTCAACAATTATTTGAATAGCTTATCTGATGTAGATTTTTATGCTCGTTTTCATGATCTCTTGTTGCTGTTTTTCTTTCTTCATGCATAAAGGAATTTTTGATAACAATGAGCCATAGTTTTAAATATTTTCATGGTATAGAAATCCGTTATTTGTGTTACAATTTAAATATACGTTGTGAATGAATTATTTTACCATATATCGGTACTACTTAAATCAGATTCGTTCATTAACATTAAGAAGTTGCTTTCAATTATATTTTATTGAATTAATTTTGTGAATAACAATTACCAGGAACGGAAATACCACAAAGTTCTCGTTCATACAAACAATAAAATTATACACCGACATCAATGACAACAGAAAATATGCGAGTTAATATGGATGAATGCGTTAAACTACTATTTATTATTATGAATAATTGATAAGCAACGTAAAGTTGACTAAAATTATTTCACGTTGAAGAATTTCATTTTTTTCTCCATTTTTATTATTGCACATTAAACCAAATTCAATTTTTGAAATTGATCGAACATTCATTCTAGACAAATTAGAATTAAAAATGGATGGATCAATATATGAATTTCTATTTCAAAACCTATTTGAAGAATATCAACTCTTGCAAGATAATCAAATGTAATATTCAAGATTTCAACTGAAAATTTACTCACAAGACAATACTCATCAAATATTGCATTAAACGAATTTTTTTTCTATCTACAACGTATAATAAAAGTTGCATTTAAACGATAGAGAGTCCTAAATAACAACATCTTAAATTACTTGTTTGATGAATATTTCAAATTTGCTAATCGTAGTTATATAAGTGATATGTAAAATATACTGCTTATTATATTGATTCTACAATCCCTCTATGTTAAAGCAAAAAGATAACCTGTTTTTTCTTTTGTTTCTTTTCTTTTACATGCGACCATTTATTTAATAGATAAAACTCTTGACGAAACATTTTTTTGAAACGAAAAAGTCGCATAACATCGTTTCTCACATGTATTCTATACTATAATTATGAAGCATTTGATATAACAATATAAAAACAAACAATGGAGAAATTACCAAATGAATTGTGGCAAATAAGTTTTAGCTATTTGCACGGTATAGAAATCCTGTATTCGTTTCACAATTTAAATATACGTTTCGAACAACTTATTAAACCATATGTTAGTAATGTTGATCTCAGTGATATCTCCTATAAATCATTCAAACAAATTAACGACCAGATTTTTCCACAATATACAAATCAAATCCGTTCATTAACATTAAAAAATCGTTTTCAATTATATTTATTCAATGAATTTTGTGAACAACAATTGTCACCAACGAAAATATTACAAAATACTCGTTCTTATAGGCACAATAGAAACATAAAGAAACAAGAGCAACGAACGTTAAGTAACAAAATCAAATCATGTTTTCAATTACCGAAAAATCTACGACGCTTAACATTAATTGATGATCGCCATCGTGAAATTATTCATGATTGCTGTAGTTGCGGTTTTGATGATGAATCACCTACACCAATCGATTTTAATTTTGAACAAATACCACCAGAATTCTGTACTCATTTAAAAGAACTTCATGTCTTTGCATATTTTGATTTGAATCGAACACTCGAACAGATCGCATCACATTCACAACTACCAGTGAGTTTAACACACTTAACACTAATACGAGCGAATGGTGGTGGGATTCAAACGACAACAAATATGATAATGCCAAACATAAAATCGTTAACCATTCAGTTATCTGGTTTACAAGCTGTGTTTCCTTTTTTTCGTATTATGACTAATTTAAATGAACTAAACGTATCTATTCTTACTAATAATGATCTATTCAGTACATTTCTTAATGATGCTGATGATTCGACAAATGAAGACGTAAATTTTCAAATTCCTAGTTCATTAACTAAATTACATTTAGAATCAGTACGATCAAGTCGCGATCGTTTTTCCCCAAAATATCAAGAGATAAAAAAATTTCTCTTCTTATTTAAACATCAATTACAATCCCTTAGTTTAATAGTATTCAATAGTCGTGACAAAGAATTTGCCAATCTAAATGGATTTCAAAATAATTTTTCTCATCTTAAATCGTTTCAATATTATATTCACACAAATCAATGCCCAACTGATTTCAATCAGTGTGTTAAAAAATTACCTAATGGTGCATACGAACTTTACACACCAAAACATCGACCCAGCAGTTTTACACTTAATAATAGACGACGGATGCAACATAGAGGAGATATTCGCGAAATGTGCTACGACAATTTAACTGCTCTTACCCTAGACGACAATACTACACTGAAAAAGGTACAAATCGCACCTAAATTACGCAACCTAATTGAAATTAACTATTTGATCACTGCTGACTGGAAACTAGACGGATATGATCCTGAATGCTTACATAAAGTACTGAGTCTATCACCAAATATGAAGATGTTTAACATCGATGGCGAAACTTCTCAACAAGTTATTTCTATACTCAAAGTTCTTCCGATTTCTTCACTGAAAAATTTTACACATTTGCTAGTGCGATTCGAAGAAACGGCATTCGATTCTAGATTTCTTATTGAGTTAGCTCGAATTATTTCATCAAAAAATAATTTAAAATATCTTTACATACATTGTTTTGGTTCGAAATATTCACAGAACAGTACGAACCCATTTCTATCAACGACAATGATGGATCATGTGGAAAAATATTTTCATAATCTAATTCATTTAGATTTATCAATATCCAGAAAAAGTATACGACAAGAACAAGCATATAACAGATTTAAAGTATGGTTGCATCAACATAATAATCAATTTATGACATTGGTTACTTTGAATGATTCAAAAACGGAAACAAAATTAACACTATGGCGATGAATCGAAATATTTTATTCAATTACATTTGTATTGACATGTACTCTTGTTTTTCTTTTTGAGGGAATGTAAAAGAAGCTTTGCGATATTTTGAAAAACATTGCACACATGCAGTCATAAAAGGAATAAACTTCATGCAAACAGTTTCATAATATCAACGTAGGCATGTATTCTTTCTTTTTCGTGTTTATTTGCCCAATGGTTTATTTTATTTGAGTCAAGTAATCGATATAGATGATGTAAATTCTTTATTGTATTTATCCGGTAAACAGTACGAATTTTATATTGATACTAGTTCGAGAATAAAGGTTCTTTTTTTTATAAGAAAATATAATATAAAAAGTATGCTATGCAAGTTTAATATTTAATTCAAAATTTCTGATTGATTATAGTAAGTTAAAGAAAAATCAAATTCAGGTATCTTCGAGCCATTCAGATTCAAGACTTGCAAGCCATCTAAACATGCATTTGAATGCTTTCTCACGAACAGGTGGTTTCGATAGAAATATATCATGAGTTGCTTTTTCTATCGAGCAGATTGTTACGTGCTGACCGAGCATTGCTGCTGCTCGTCGAATATTCTCAACATTGAGTACAAGGTCAACTAAAGTATCAGTAAAATAAATAGCCGTGCACGAGCCGATGTTTTTAATACTTACCTTCAGCATACTCATCGCGCCAAGCGGTATCGCATTTGAGCGATCGATCTGAACTCATGAACAATATAGGGCATTTAATAGAACTACCGTGTTGTGCAAGTTCAAGTTGAGCTCGACGACAAGCAGTAAAAAATGAACCATGAACGCGTACTGTGTCAATAGGTTTCATGGTCGTATCAAAATCCCATTCACCTTTATGTGATATATGTAGTGATCGACCGTTCCATCTAAGCACATAGTTTTCTTGTCATTTATAAAATATAAGAAAATAATTACCCAGCTACGATATCTCGCGAGCCATTCGTTGCTATAAGAAGGTTCACTAGAACGGATTGAAACCTTGTTTTGTCAAGTTCAACTAGATTTGGACTATTGAGTATAAGAGCATCGATATCATCACGTTTTGGGCCGGACAAGGCATATAAACTGGCGGTTAGTCCACCTATTAAAAACAAAATAGAATTATGATTTCAAATTTGAATAATAAATCATTTTTGATAGCAGTAAACTTTCTACACTCTCTGTTCGTACTATCGGCTATTGTAATACCTGTAGAATGGCCAAGCAATGCAAATTTTTTGTTAGCATATGCTTCAGCTTGTTTGTTCATATGTTCAATGGCAAGTGAAATTTCTTCATCGTAGACGTGCATATCTGTACAGTAGTGTTTATATGAATTTTGTTCAGGCAAAATTAGTGATCGGCCGCATTTTCGCAAGTCAATTGCAAAGAAATCATAACCAAAGTCCAAAAAACGGGCACACATATGATGTCTTGAAAAAAGAAGACCAATCGAGATGAAAAAAGAAATAATTTTCTTACTTACTGAAAGTAATAATCATTATAACCATGTATATAGAGAACAGCTTTGTATAGATCATTCTTTTTCATTGTTCGAGCATGTAATAAAGTTGCTCTATTCGGTCCAAAATTGTCTGGTGTCAGTGTGAAGACTGTAGTTTCATATTCAGGAATTGGTGTTGATTCTGTACTTGTGTCCATCTTCTGTTAAAACTAAAAAGATGTAAACATGAATTCTCAGAGTCTATTAATATATATATAAATGTAAATCTGCTGTTTAATAGAAAAAAACGAGTTGAGTAAAAAATGGGATTATATGTAAATAAAAATCGATCAAGTTTACTTTTTTTTTCTCTCAAAATTTTCCTGTGATGTTGATATGTATTATTGGAGCTATCCTTGGTTGTTTGTTTTTACTAGGATCACTAGTCGACGATCTTGACATCGTTCTTTGCAGATTCTTATCCAAGGCGGTAGCAAGATTCTTGACAGAAAAGACAAACTTTGATCTACTAGGCAAAAATCTTGTGTTCTTGAAAACCAGGTAAAATTCTTGCTGCTAACTCAAGAAATGATTCCTGCGTGATTTTTAAGAAGAAAAGGAATCTTGTTTGGCAAGCAAGTAAAACAAGAACCTGGACAGATCGAAGTCAAGATCATCGACTAGTGGATTTCCTATAATTCATCTGAGTGAAGATTATTTTTTAGAATAACCAACTTTTCAATTTGCTTGTCTCCGATACGAACAATTCAAAGCAGCAAATTTGCCCACACAGACAACGGAATTAGCAGTTTAAATGAATTTCAAACAGAAAAATGACTTTGAAAGGCAGGCTTTGAAATCAACTAATCTTGCCTATCGATGACTTAAAAAGAAAAAAAAACATGTTATGTTGGTTAATATTCTCTACGAAGAATTTCATATCGCTTATCTAAGATAAATATTCTTACACAGTGAAAAACAAGATACGCACCCAACATCTCGCATATTGTTTGAAGTAACAAATAGTTTTATCTTTCGTTAACTTATGCGAGTGACGCTAAAAGTGCGTATTTCTTCTTCAGGTAGTGATGGTAATTTTCTTTTAAACAAGTCATTTACCTAGAAGAAAACAACACGTAAAAGGTTTATTGTAAGGAATCCGACTTCGGTCGAGAATTTTACTCTGTGAATAGGTCAAAGTCATGAATACAAATGATATTTTTACGTTTAAACTTTCCATAAATATTGATCTTTAAGGTCATTTCAATCATGTTGTTAGTGAAAACGAGTGGTCTTTCAAATTAGCAATTTAGGATAAAAAAATTAAAACGAATATTTAGAGCACGGGAATAAATGATCTGGCAAAGCTTCTCTTAATCTTATAACGGATGATGCTTATTGTGAACAATAAACACTGTCTATTCGTAAAATAATATGTATTGGTTCATTGAAATCTGATCGTTTTTTGAAGTTTAGATATAAAAGTTCTACAAACTCGATATGTCATTCATAGTTCATTGCCATAGAAAATTTAAGAAAAAAAAAGTTTGTACAACATTAATGCTTTTTATATTCTAGAGAAATATCACAACGTGAAACCTAAGTTAATTTTCTCTATATAGCCACTCATTAAAAATAGTTATGTTGATAGCCAATTGTATCCCAAAAATCACAGTCATCCTTCAAATAGTTCTCTATAATTTGAACTGGATCTTGAAAGTACAAGTACTTCATGACGTTGTTCATAAGTCTTGGCCAAACCAGTGGAATTTGTACTGGTTGATTTGGATCTTTAGTTTTAGCATAGTTTGTCCAATAGGTAGCCAAACTTTCGGAAATCCGTTTCCCAGCATCAGTAAAGTTATTCCATAATGATTCAAATAGGAAAGGTATTTCATCACCATGACACGCACACCCTTGACAGACTGAAGAGTTGTCCGTACCATTAGCCTCTAATGGAAAACCGAATACATATGAATAAGTTGCAGTTTTACGAGCAAAGATACGCGCTGGACAAGCAAATATCCATTGAGTAGTAATTCGAGTTAAGAGTGGACGTTGATCACCAAGACCATCAGGTGGATAACGTTCAATAACTTTAAGAAAATTATCACGGAATAAAACAAGGCTAATCTCAGTGTAGTTGAGAGGTAACACTGGTTTATGAAATGCACCATGAACAAATGATAAAGCTTCATCGGTCAGTGTTCCAATAATGAGTGGTTTGAGTGCAAAAGATATATTCAATATTGTGTTCATGAGTTGATCGTGTACAACTGAATTGTCAATGACCGGAACCCATGGTTCAAGGGAAATTAGAATATTCAATGATGTAATCATACCATTTACTTGACTTTGAGCGACAATAATATCTTGATAGGAAGTCTCACGAAAACATGTAATATTCCCTATAGTACAATTGAGTTTTTCGGCGAGAAAAACAGCAGGAGTGATATATTCTGCATACGTTCTAGTAGACAAACAAGAAGAAATCGGTTCGTCTTTCATCTAGTAATTTAGTACCGGAATGGAAGCAACATGGGAGAACTTTGAATGATTGCAGCTTGAAAAAATGATTGCATTTCGCTGGAAACATAGTGCAATGCTGTCGATTGACCACCTGCACTTTGACCGAACAAAGTAATCTATATATGTAGAGAAAGATAATCATGATCAAACATAAGATGATTCGATTGAACCTGATTTGGATCCCCTCCAAATACATCAACATTCTCGTTGACCCATGCAATGGATAATCGTTGGTCTAGTATCCCATAGTTGCCATGAAGATCATTTGGACCAGTGCCAGTTGCCAAAAATCCAAGGACACCTTTGCGTTTAAATTAAAATAATTATTTGTATTCTTTATTGATGATTCGAATATACTGACCGAGTCGATATTGAATGAAGACACAAATGACATTACTTGTATTAACAAAACGTTCTGCTTCATAGATCGGTAGTGATGCACCAAGAAATTGAAAAGTTCCACCAGTAATAAAGATCATGACAGGTAGAAGAGAGGATGACGATGAAGTATTTAACAATGGAGTAAATATATTTAAATAGAGGCAGTCTTCTGATATCTAAATCAATAGGACTGGCAAAGTTATCTTTCGAAATGTATTCGGACACGTACATTTGTAGGACAAAGTAGAGAATGGATATCGCACGAACGTTGAGGGCAAGCCGGAGGAGGCTTCGTTGCATTGATTACTTTTCCAGTCCATTTGCTGATAGCTACTGGGGGATTCCATCTAAATGAATAATCATTGAAGAAAAAGCATACATGTAATTTTCAGACTACCTCAAGGCACCAACTGGTGGTTGAGCAAATGGAATACCGTAAAACACACGAGCCATGGGCGTCTCATAACCTAGCACGTCACCGTATTTCGTCGAAACGATAATCGATTGGTTAGTATCAACATGTTGATATAAACAAGCTAGAATCAGAAGAGACAGTATCATGTTTTCTGTTGATGGCCAGTGAAACATTGATAGATGATATAACTATTTTGGTTTCTTTTTTCAATGATTACTGATAACTAGTAAGCAAAATTTTCAGGTAAAAAATGCCTTGGCACACCACCTGCCATGATAAGACTGTGTATATATCTCGACCGACGCCGTTATGGTGTTGGTAGGAGAAGAAAATTGGTCTTTTCCCCGGTATTATGAGTTACGTATACAGCCAACCATCGGCGGTTTTTCAGGTGTGGCAATTGGTGGCAATTGCCACACCTGAAAAAAGGATTGTTGCACTTGAAAAATTATTAGTGGATACATCCAAGGGTGTCGCGACAGCTGGGGATGAGACGGGGGTGACCCGATCCAAATATTCAAAAATTGTCTTGCATTATATTTCACAAAATGAAATGCATAGTACCTTAAGCACAATTTTACAAATTTGCTCTAGTATTGCGAAAAGTCAAACTCAAAAATCCGGAAAAAATTCGAAAACAAATCCCAGAAAAAGTCAAAAAGTCGCCAAAAAAGTCTCGAAAGCATCAGAGATATTTCAGAAAAACCTTGCAAAAATGCTGAAAAGCTCTGGAAAAGTCAGGCTAAATTCCGAAAAATTCGAAAACATGCAGAAAAATCTGAAAAATGCCAAAAATATCTCGAAAAAACCGAATAAATGAAGAAACAGTGTAGACAAAATGCCAAAAAACTTTCACAATTAGGAAGATCTGGCAACACTGGTTATTCCGCGTAAAAAAATTTTGAAAAGAAGAATTTCATAAGTTACCCAGCCCCCAGTTTTGATTGCTCGTGACACCCCTGGATATGTCTATCTTTTTATATACATATGCCGTACCCAAAACATGTCTTTGTTTTGAAAAAATCAGTATTATTACTTACTGCCACACCTCCATATGAGACACTGGCCCGCCGATGCTCACCCACAAATATTAAATTAAACCGAAGACAAATCTCTGATAATATATATTTCATGTCACTAGATGTCACTACTATACGAGAATAAATAGATGCTTCCCTCTAAAGTAGCGCTGCGTCTGTTATGTACAATCCACTCATTTGTTTGTGTTTAGTGATCTAAATATTCATTCGAAAGATAGACTGGATACAAATAATGAATCGTTATCGACATTTCGATAATGAATTCGATTCAAATAATACAAATTCACCAGCTATTTTACCTGAAATTGAAGTCGATGAACCATTTCAATTAGAATTCAGTCCACACCTTCAACCTTATCCATCGAATTATGATAACTTTAAAATTTTCTTCTTACACCGAACAGCACTCGAACGCTTTCTATTTTATTTGATAATTTTTCTTTTAATTATTTTATTTGTTATAATTATTATTTGCCTTTCTTACTCCAAAGAAAAAGAAAAATCATTCAATGCCATATGTTTAACACCATCATGTATTGAAGTATCATATTCAATTGCGTCTGGTATCAATCAATCCGTTGATCCATGTGAAGATTTTCATCAATTTGTATGTGGCAATTGGATAAGAAAAAATATCATTCCAAAAGGCCATTCATCATGGTCAATACCAAACGAATTAGGAAAAAAAAATATGATTATACTAAAAAACATTCTTGAACAAACATCATCATCAGTTGAGGCTGAACAGCAAGCGATTAAATATTATCAATCGTGTATGAATTTAATAGAACTTGAACGATTACAACTGCAAACATTAGAAATGTTTTTTCAAAATACTTTAAATTTTACATTAAAACAGTGGATTAATTTAGATAAAAATCAAACATGGCAACAAACTTTTATTTATTTCCTAAAACTATTTTCAAATCAATATGGATTTTTAAGCATATTTCCAATTCGAATTGATTCCGATGAAAAAAATTCAACATGGAATAATATTTATGTAAATTATTTTTATTATAGTCGTATAAATTTCCTTGTTTTTATTAAAAGATTGATCAACCTGAACTAATTCTTGGAACGCGAGATTATTATATTCAATCAACAACAAATAATCAATCAAATGAAAGAAATAGAATTGTAAAGTTTTTAATCAATTAATTTTTCTTTAAAATTATGTTTAAATTAATATTTAGATTCGAGAAACACTCAGTAAAGTTGGTTCCGAAATATTACAATTACTTGGTTTTGAAAAAAATGATTCTATAAAACGAATGAATGATATTATTCAATTCGAAACGGAGCTTGCATTAGTTAATTGTAAGTTATTTCTCTTCTAATAGACACTAGTAGCACTAAGGATAGAACTGATCTTGAGAGCGTACACTAGATATATGAGCGAACGGGCTATTTACTACCAACCAAATGTGTACTATGAGAAATTTTCCTAGGAAACCCTTTAAATTCTATGCTGTATTTTCTATATTTTAGCCAAGTACAAAAAATTAATTAGAAAAGTATTTGTTATTTCATAGGAAGAAGTAGAAGATTAGATGAGATAAGTAAATGGTAAGCATGCTCATCCTAGTTTGCAATTTTTGTTGTACTCGCCACACACATATCTAACGTATATTTATATAAATGTCCACTATTTGTACTTCATTATTTGTAAATTTAATTCAATAGTAAAATAATTCTTTATTTTTAAAGTACCGATGGAAGCGTTACAAAAACCAAATGAAACATATCATTTAATGCCTTTAAAACAACTTCAAGAATATTATAAATCTATTGAACTTGATATTTATTCATTTTTTAATGATATACTCAATACAAGTTCAATAAAATTTAACGGAAACGATCAAGTAATTGTTTTATCATTTGAATTGATGTTCAATATATCGAATATTTTAACAAATTATTTATTAGCATCAACTAAAAGTTATGTTGTTATTGATCATTTACTATTTTCATTTGTATTCAATAAAATTTTACATTTATCATCGTCATTTGAAAAAGCGATGATACCATTAAAAAAAGCGCTCTATGGAGTCGATTCATCAGTCGAACGATGGGAATATTGTATAAAAAAAACGGACGGCGCATTTGGATTTGCACTTAGTGAGTTGTTACGCCACAAGGAGAATAGGAATTATTTTGAATTAAAAACAAAATAAATTGTTTTAGGTGCTCTTTATCTTAGAGCTGCATTCGACGAAGATGATCGATCAAAAGCGAATGAGTTAGTAGAAAATATTCGTTTAAGTTTCGAAGAAAATCTCGATAAACTTCAATGGATTGATGAGCCAACAAAAAATGAAGCTAAGAAAAAATTGAAAAAAATTAATCAAAAAATTGGTTATCCAGATTTCATAAAAAACCAGACTCACTTAAATGAACGGTTAGTTTATTGAGTAGTTTTTGATTCGAGATCGTACCCGGTGTTGATGACTACAGTTCAACGATTTTAATTTTAGTTATGGTGGTTATACAATCATTGAAAATGAATATTTTAATAATGAAATTAAAGTATCCATGCGAGAACAACGACGAACAATTTTAAAATATCGACAAAAAGTCGATGCTAGCGAGTAAGTATTTCAAAAACAAAAAACGGCGCATACTAATCGTTTGCGAATTTAGATGGCGTATGACACCACGAATGGTCAACGCTTATTATAATCCACCAGCAAATGAAATAGTTTTTCCAGCTGGTATTCTCCAACCGCCATTCTTTCATAAAGATCTACCATTGGCAATTAATTATGGGGCAATCGGTTCAGTTATTGGCCATGAAATAACTCATGGTTTTGACAATCAAGGACGAGAATTCGATGCTGATGGAAATATGATTTCGTGGTGGACAAATTCTGCTGTGAACAATTTTGAAGAAAAAACAAAATGCTTCGTTCAACAATATTCAAATTTTACAATTGATGGACAAAATATAAATGGCCAAAGAACATTAGGTTAGCTTAGTAGATAATCTAAAATTCATTATGAAATAATAATTGTTGACCGATTGACGCGAAAATACTTTAGCAAAAGAAGAACTTTGCTTATCTCGATATTCATTTTTAGGCAAAACATGATCGAATCGTGTAAGAATTTTTCTATGCTCATCAATTGCTCGAATTTGATTTGATTTTGATTTTTCTATGAATTTTATATTGTGTAATATTTCTCTAGGTGAAAATATTGCCGATAATGGTGGTTTAAAATTATCCTATTTTGCTTATCAAAATCACAAAAATGGTAATTCAAGTGCTAGTAACGATCTTCGTCTTCCTGGTTTAGACTATAAAAATGATCAATTATATTTTATTGCTTTTGCTCATGTATGACAGGATTTTTATGATTACAAAATTTTAAACAATAACACTTTACTTTCTTAGGCATGGTGTAATATTCAAACTTCTAATTCTCTTCATGATGATTTAACAACTGATCCACATTCACCATCGCGTTGCCGTGTAATTGGAACAGTACAAAATAGTGACGAGTTTACAAAAGCATTTTCATGTAAATCAAGAGCAACAATGAATCCAAGTAACAAATGTCAATTATGGTAGTCTTTCGAACTTTACTATTGCTTTTCTTTTTTCAAATCGAGAAACAACAGAATATTTTATGATGTTTTATTCTGCGATACTCTTTTAACACTTGAAACATATCGATTTTTTTGTTTCTTCTTCGTTTTATACGTTTCAATAATATACAATTGGCGAGTCTCTTTTTAGATGATAACGGATGTAAAAAGTTCTAATGTTAGTCGACAAGAATTCATTGATCTACTTTGTCGAATAACAAAATCCGATGAAGAAATGATAACGAATGTCACTACCGATAGTAGGAATGAACCAGATGTAACAATTATTGATGAAACACCACCAGCCATTGAAGATGGTGAAATAATTACACTCGATGATGATGATGATGACGATGGTGAAATTACTAATAAAAAAGAAATTGAAGATGGAGAAATAACAGAATCACAAGGATCAGATGTAAGTCAAGAACGGTGACTTGCTTAAGTTTCTTTGATGATACAAAAGATAAAAGAATTTTTCGTTTTATTAGAATGACGATGTTGAAGAATTAAATTTACGTTTACATGCTTTACGATCATTAGCTGGTGCGCAAAAACAAAAAACTAAAAGTAAGATTCTATTCATTTTCTTTCTATTCATTTTTATATTTTTCCTTTCTTAGAATTTAAATCGAAACGAAAACGAACGAATGAGAGTAGTCGTTATATAAAAGATGATATCGATCTTCGTTCACCAATGAAAAATCGATTATCATCACGATATGGAAATCAATCGTCAAATAACGATGATCGTGAATATTTACTCGATAAAGATTATCGCCAAAAAAGTGTTTTTGATATGCTTCTTTCTCTTATCTCGCCTGATACTAACAATTATAGTTCAACTGCAAATATAAGCAGTAAAAAGCTCGTCGATAACTACGATATTCAACAAATGGATATTGTTGATGATTATCCAATTTCAGCGCCACCACTTCCACCTCTCCCGCCACCGCCACCGCCACCCCCATTGCCTCCGAATCATCTACCATTTTTCGATCCATTACCACCACTTCCACCTCCACCACCGCCTTTATTCAATATTTTTACTGCTAATCAACAATTTTCATCGACAAATTGGCCACGACCAAACTTCGTACAACAAACACCAATTCAAAATGATCCATGGCAACCATCATTTAGTCATACAACCGATGTTGACCTTCGTCATCAAACAATAAATACTAACAATCATCATCAAACCATAAATACTAACAATCATCATCATTCAATACCTCAAATCAATGAGTCATTATCACACAACAAATTACAACAACAACGGCGAAGACGTACAAAAAAGCCTTCTAAAAGACATCATCATGAACGCGAACATCCATCACCTATTGTTACTGTAAAACTTGATAGTCCAGAAGAACAATCATCACCGTTAGCTAAAACTAATGATGATGATGAAGAAGAAGAGCGTTTATTACGTGAAGAACTTTTGCGTACATTATCAAGTAAACGTAAAGTTAAAGTAATTGAAAAACCCAATGTTGAACCAGAACGCATTGTTACAATAGAACGAGCAAATTCTCCGCCAACAATTATTCAAATAAATGCACATCCCACCCCTCCTATTGTCATAAATAAACCGATTGAAACAGTGCCTAAAACACAATATAGTATTAATCAACGGTATAAACGTGTTAAAGCGAACGTATCGTCGACAAATTTAACAAATAAAATTGAAACATCAACTACTATTGTTCGAAATACACAACCTATTATTCAAACACGAAATAAAATTGTTCGTGTGGTATGTTTTTGTTTTTAAATTCAACTAAATCTAAATTTATCGTTTCTAAATTTCTTAAGCCTGATACTGATATTGAGATTCCGCAATCAAATTCAATTATAATTAAATTCGATGATCAAACAACAGACGAAGAACAAGAACAACCGATAGTTGGAAAATCGAATGGATCATCGTACATTATCAATGATGAAGAACGACAAGCTATTAAACGATTACCGCAACAACAAGAAGAAGTTATTCGCCGAATGAATACGACCGATTCAACGGCTAAAACAATAGTACAAAAAACACAAACACCGCCGCCGCCGCAGTCACGAAATGATATCATACAAGAAGCAATACCATCAACGGATGAATTAAGTGCCTTATTAGAAAAACGGTAAGAAACTCTTTTTCCTAAAAGGTTACTTTCGCGGACTAGCGTGTTGATTGTGTTCTAGGCGAATGTTAATTATTGGACGAGCTAAATATGGTGAAATTCAAGAAAAAATGAAAAAGAAAAATTTAGAAAATGGACTTTTAGCACGTGATATTGAAAGACTTGAAGAGCAATTATTAAACAAGAAAACTCAAGTCACAAATAACAATGCACTCTTACAATATTGGCAAAGAGAGGTGAAAAATTCATTAGAAAATCAGCATTTTCTTTATTTTAATCTATTTAGGCAATGTCTATTGCACAAAATATTAAACAACAAGAAGATTTAATTCTTCAATCAGCTGTTTTTAAATCTGTTAAACCGGTAAATATTTCAAAAAATAAAAAAAAAAGATATTGAAAATATTTTTCATTAGGCCACATCATCTGTTCCCAAACCACGTCTAGCAACCGAATTCGATCATGCTAGTATTTCAAAAGTATTCGAAGAAAACAGTGTACGTAAACATACGCATTTACATAAAGATTTCGTATTCTGATCTGTATTATAGGCACAGATGCTCTTATCAATACTTATTTGTCCATTGAGTTTGTATCGAAAACTACGGCCCTATCATACTTGGTTAAATATCATATCGAAAAAAATTCCAACGGTTCGTTTTACTTAAAAAATAAACAGGGAAAGAAAAGCCTTTCTCATTTAGTCATCCGTTGAAGATAGTTCATGCCCATTGTTTCGAACACGCTCGTAAGTTGAAGGCTTTCGAGATAAATTTGATTTAAAACTTCGATTTTGTTGATTAGATTTTCTACTCAAAATGATGAACAGTATTGGAAAACATGTTTACAAGCATATTTTATTGATATTAATCAAGTTTTTTGTCCATACGAACTTCAGGGTTCGTGCAAAGCTCAACATTGTATTTAGTAAGTTATTTATTTTTGCTCGCCTACAAGTAATTAGGAAATGAATAATTTGTTTTATTTCCATTAGCCAACATCAACATCAAATTTCTAATCGTATTGATCAATTTGTTTCTTCGAAAAATTTCAATGAAAAAAATAAACAAAGTTCGCTAATAAAATAATCATTTTTAATCTATAGAATATTTTATTTCTTAGAAATTCTAAATCAAATTGAGAGTGTATGTACATTGCAAGCATTTGATATCGATTTATCTATATTTCAAAAAAGAATTAGCGAAAAACAGTATCAACGATGTAAGCTATTCGTATAGGCTCCTTTCAATTTATTTATTTTTCATAGTTTAGGTCGAATGAAGCTCGATCGATATCTTTCAATTTATCATGAAGATTTTCGATATTTTCGAGATAAATCAACTATTGGTAGTCATTCACTTATCCATCCAATACTCGTCAGTGTATCAAATCAGCTTGATGCGTGCGTAAAAAAAACTTTATTCATTACACGACAAAGTACTCAGGATTTTTCGTCCTCCTATCCAAAGAGTTAATATTCGTTACCAGAAAGATTATTAAAATTGCTGCTAAATACTTTCTTTTAATTTTGCATAACGTATTAAATTGGAGTCCGATTTCGAACGTCTTCCTACAAATGAGCGAGCACAGAAAACAGCACTCTATCAAAATCATGAAATCTTACATTTTTATGTTTTAGAGACGAATTTTCACCTGAACAAGCTGTTGCTGATCTGGTGGAAGGACTTGAATTGGAAAGAACGAATGCACAACTATGGTGTCTCTATCTGGAATTCTCTAGTTGGCACATGTCGCAAGATGAATTACAACTTTTATGTTCTGCTGCGCTTAAAAATGCTCAAAGTTATGATCTATTTTGGACAGTAAGGAAATAAAACTGACATTTTAAAAAAATGCTCTTTTTTTCTGTTGAAAAATTAGATTTTTTATCTATGTACAAATAATATAGAAGAATTGATATCCATCTATTATACATTTATACAATCAAATGAATTTGATTTTCATAATCGTTCCTATGCAATATGTGAGCTCGCAATGTTTCACGCCAATCTTTCATTAAATTGTGATCAAGCATACAATAAAATTAAAGTAAAAATAAGAAAATTTCAAAATCAACTTTAAGTTTTTTTGTTTCGAATATTTAGAATTACGTATCGAACTCTTCGCTAGAAAATGAACATCGAATATATCTTGCTGTAGTTTTATTATACATGTTTGTGTTTGGTTCATTTCCTAGAACACTCTATCAACAGATGGATGAAAGTCGCTTTGATAAACAAATATATGTTAGTAGAGATTTTTTAAATCTTCTGTAGTGCAATTAGGAAAGCTTTTTTTTTGTAGCTCGAACCATTTATTTGTCCTTGGCATGCTCTAGCGAAATATTCACATAATCAAAATGAAATAGACAAATTTTTTGATGATTTTATCAATGCAACGGAATTATCCGAAAGTGATTTTGCTTTGTATATTAATAAAATTCACTATTTAAATGCTACGAAAAGGTATGATATGAAAGTTCTAGTACTTTTTATATTGATAACTGAAACCTATCTCATGAACTCTTCAAGGTCTTACGCTATCAGTTATTTGTTACTAAAACCTATGTTGAAAAAGACTCATGAACGGAAGCTTCAATCTGATATTTTATTTTGAGCCAGGGCTCCTAATGGGATGGGATGCGTTCCTAATCCCATGGGAAATGTGATTATTTTTTTAAAGAAAAATTATTATTCATTTATGTCACACTTGACAATAGGTGAAAAGTGTGAATATTATCATTCTTTTTCTGTACTGGTCATTAACCCAACTCCGAGCTCTATTCGAACAATTGAATAAAAAATACGATAAAACATAGAAAACAGAAATAAACATAAATGTTCTTTTTGTTTGAATGTTTTAATAAAATATCATCATCTTTTGTTTTATAAATTGTTCAATATCACCTTCTATAATTATTTCTTCCTCATTATCATCCTTAGTTTCGGATAAACAGGAATATTCAGTTGAGAAAGTCAAATTTCGTTTACAACATCACAAGCAGAATTAAAAGGTACTGATAATGATATTCCAACCAGGAATGCACCAATTTCTAGTACATGGTACGATAGATACAAATTTTGCCTAATGTAGGAGGCAGTCGTCCTCTGATTCCGTTCCAGTTATCAGTCAAGATCATCTTTTTCGATCTATGAAAAGCTATGATCCAAATTTATTAAAGATGAAAAAGCGTTTTTGGATTTGACTCCCAAGTCCAATTTTCAAGTCGTTTTCCGTCAAATTCTGCCAAATCCAGCCTAGTTTCAAACTTTCAATTTGCATTACACAAATTCTAAGAATAGATTTGAAAAAGAGTTCAAAACTGAACAGAAAAATATGAAGAAAGAGATGTTCAATCGATAATTCTCACTACCGGGCACGCGATTTTTAAGTAGGGAAAAGATCCAATCCCGTCAATTTCTTGAATTTTTTATCCAATGTTTACATGTTCTCAGCATTGGGACTTATGGATTAAGCCTTTTTACTTATTTTTTTTCTGTTCAGTTCTGAACGTTCTTTTCAAATCTATTCTTAGACTTTGTGTAATGCAAACTGCAAGTCTGAAACTGAATTGGATTTGACCGAAAACGACTTGAAAGTTCAAATTCTGAGTCAAATCCGAAAACTTTTTTTAATCTTTCATAAATCTCAGCTATCGTTTTACATAGAGCAAAAAAATGGTCTTGGCTGATATATGGAATCAGAGGACCGCTCCACTCTACATCAGGTAAAAGTGTCATCTTTCTTGCAATGTACTAGGAATTGGTGCATCCCTAATTTCAATATTCTAATCGGAATGCTGGAAAACTTTGAATTTCCAGTTACAAAAAAAAGAAACCTTGATTTTCAGTAAGATTTTTCGTAGTATAGCGAATCCCATGGGAGCCCATGGGATGGGATGAAAATTATTTTTTGCTAAATCCCATGGGATGGGACGACTTGCATTATCCCACGGGACGAAAATTTCGTCCCATCCCATCCCATTAGGAGCTCTGTTTTGAGCCGTAGGTTTTCCTCTTTCGACCAGCACGCCAACAACCGTTGAGTAAGATTTTGTAGAAGTTTGCTAATGTCCTTAGGTCTGAAAACCACTATTTAAAAAAAAGGGGGATGCGCAATTTAGAAGAGCGTATCCTGCTGCTGAAAACATGTTGTTCTGCCTGAATTAAGCATCCGTTTTAAAATGATGATGAGCACGGTATCGAAGTAAATTAGGTTTATTTATTTTCAAATAGTAAATAAACTTGAAATGCTACTATTGAACTGAGTCTCGGCAATTATTGTATCGTTCTCTTTAGATTTGATCAGTCAAAAGTTTATATCGAATCATTAATTGAAGTATTTCCATGTTCCATTGAACTTTGGATCGAACTTTTATTGAATCCAGAAATATTGAAAAATGTTCCTGAAGTAAACCTGATTGAAAACCAAATTCTTCTATAAAAATGACTTTATTTTTTTTTAGACTCTTGAGCGAGCTAGAAAAACAACAGGAATTTATTTTGAATTTATTTATTCACTGGTACAATTGAAATCATCGAAAATCAATCTGAATATAGATAATTTTTATTTCATTTAGTCTTCATCTATAAATATTCAATCGATGTTAAACAATGAATCGATACAAGCGAAAACATATCGTGAAAAATTCTTTTCAGATCTTTGTCATTTGTCGTGGGAAATTTTTGTTTTTTATTTTCTGGTTAAAAAATTCTTTTTTATAAAAACAAACCAAATTTTTATAGGTTGGCTTCGGATCATGAGTTAAAACAAAAGAAAATCGAACATAATCTTCTACGATACACTGGAGAATTACGTGATATAACTATACTTGAGTGAGATTGAAGTTTTTCTATTTACTATCAAATATTTTTATTTTTATTGTCTTAGTCTAATTTTTCATTTTTCGAATTTTTCTATCGACGAACAAAGAAAAATCATTCTACAAGTGTTAAATTATCTCACCACACATGATGATCATCAACGAATATTAATTCTCTATTCGTTCTTTCGAATGATTCAAATCGGTCGCGTTTTTGATATTGTTATCGATTGTTTTCTTTCGATAAATAACGATCAATTCGAATGGATTATTAAGCCGTAAGATTGATTGGAATCTAAAAATAGTTTTTTCTAATTCTTTTGTCTCTGTATCAACTTAGATTTACTTATCGTTTATTAGACGTTTCAATAAAAAAAGATCGAAATACATTAATATGGCCACGTTTTGATGCATTTGCAAAGCAATTAATACATAGTACTCATTGTCATGAGATCTATGTCACGTATGTCAAATTTATTCACACCAGGTAAGCGATGTTTTTGTTTACTTTATTTATTAGTATTCTACAACGGCTAATTGCATCGATGGAAGACAAGAGTAAAGTAAGTCAAACGAACGTTCATCATAAGAATGTAAAAATTTTTTCCCGATTGAATTTTAATCTATGAGTTATTTGAACTTCGGAATACATCTTAATATTTACACAGGATAATCTCTGTAAGAAATACTTTCGGTTCAAAAAAACAGTGCATAAAATCATTACTACATTATTAGATGGAAATCTATTTCTACTTTATAGCCACTACTTTCTCATTTAAAAATGAATGATTTTTTTCTTCTATAAATAAATCAAATCTGTCAAAAACAATCATATCTACTATAGCCTGATTAAAAATTTCATTTCTCTCGAATGATTTATTATCTATGCCTTCCTGTTCTACTCTATTATTCATTCAAGATTGCTCGTTTATGTCGTCTATTCGAAAAACAATTTTCCAATTGTGGTATTATCTCTCAACAACTTCGACAAATCATCTTCAATTCCACTTCAAACGATACAGGCGCTACGACTACTTCATAATACTAAGAGTGAGAAAAAAAAGAGATTGAGTTATTTTAAAAAGACATACAAAATAAAAACAAAATAAGTAGCATTGATAAAGTTTTTTTCACGGGAGAAAAAATGGAGTTTCTCACCTTTCGACATTGATTACAAGGCTAGGTTCTTTCATTCTTATTTTGGTTTGTTTACACCCATTTGTTTTTGTTTTTCTATTGCATGTCTTTCAAAATGGGTATTGCTACCAATGGACTAGTTTTTGTTTTGTTATCGTCGATATCCATAACGTATATTATGTGTGCATCATTTTTGTTCTATATTTCGAATGAAAAAATGAAATCTGAGTGATGTTCACTCAATCATAGATATATAACGTGCGCCTAAGCTTTTGTTGTTGTTGTCGTTGTTGTTTTTCTCGTATATTCATATATGTTTTTGCTGTGATATTGTGAAAACAATTGTGAAATTGATTGAAATAAAATAGAGAACATTGAAAAAAACAAAATCATATTGATCGATTTGCTCGTTCAACTCTCGTGCTATTTAATTGATTAGTATCTATTTTTCGCAGACAACATTAAAAAAAAGAGGAAGAATAAAACTAACACAACTGCCCATATAGACATTAGTAAAATTTCAGTAAATTAATCACCATGCAATATGATGTATTATTTTCACTTCGTTCGTGTGCTATTTTTTCTAATGGATCGAATGCATAATAGAACTACTATATCTGTGAACTCGGACGGAAAATTATATAGACATTATATCCATAAAAATAAGAGAAAAGAAACACATATGCGCGTCCCATTATTACTTAGTCAATTCTTTTCATAAACCTTCCGGTATTAAAATAAGGAAAAAAAAACAGCCGACAGAGTAGATTATTTTTAATCTGCTCGTATGAATGCTTTTCTAAATTTTTACTTTTTGACTACGAATTAAAGCAAAAAAAGAAAAGGAAACACATCAATTTGGGTTCATCTTTTACATAGTCTCCATAAAATAAATCTTGGATATAGACAAGAATTACTATTGGTTGAATGAGAATGAGCGACATTCATACGACTAGATTTCTGTAGGTTTTATTTTCAGCGCTTATTCGTTTGACAGCTAAGCCCATAGGCACTTGTATCATCATTGCAAGAAATTTCCATGGACGAATCATACGTAGTGGCACACTAATTAAATACTATGAAGAAAAAATTGAATATTTTATGATAGAAAAACAAAAACAAGGAAATTCTTCGTGAAAAACTGCACTTCTAATAAAAACAACTAATGAGCCAATGAAACTGTTAAAACCACACTGAATAACTAATGATTTATAAACATGACGTTCACAAAAATCATGTGTTCACTGGCATTCCAGCGATTCCAAAATGCACTTAGATCAGTGGCATTCCACCAGTCACAATAGAAAAGTCGATCACCAAAACATAACAATTCAACAAGTAGATTTAATATTGGATGAAAATAAACATAGAATAATATTAACCATTTAAGAGATGATTTGGTAAAGCGAGACGTAGAAGACGTTCAATATTTTGTAGTGTTGAATATTGATTTAGCGGTCGATCAAATGTTCGTAAAATAGGTAACGTCCATTGTTGACTAAGACAATATTGTAATGATAAAAGTACGAGAATTTCAGCACAACGTCGTAGAATAAATCCTTTACGGATACCAGAAGAACGTGGAAAATCTAAATCATAACAGAATGTTGGTGCAAACATAAAATAATAAAGATTTTTCAATGTTCAGTTATTTGGACATAGTAATTCACTCTTTGATACATCTGATTGTTTAGTTGAATCTAACAAAAGTCAAAGTTAATCGATTAGAATAAGTAGTTAAAAAACAACGAAATACTTTTTTTCACAAATAGAGCTTGTCGACATTAATAATTCAAATGTAAATAGGAGAAAAGTTTTAGAAAAACTATTGTAGACACGGACACAGCGATAAATGCACCAACTGGATTCCGTTCACGATGATAAATATATACAGCTGGACCAACAAGTAGCACAATTAGATTAGCAAATTGAAGTGATATCCATGCGATTTTTACTTTTGAATGTAATTTACTAAGTCTTATTTCAAGTCAAAGTTCAAATAGAATGAAAAAAATAACGAATACAATAAGAAATGCGTGAAACATAATTTTTGTTTTTCAAAATAAAACTAATATCAAAATTTTTCACCGATGGTCAATTTGTTTGATCTTTTAGGAACTTTATGGGTGGGTGTGGGTGTGAGGAATGGCGAACATACGCGCCTACACACACACACATACACCCACACCCAAGAAAAATTAAGCAAAGGCTAGACTTTATACTTTGATCAATGTATAGAATAATTAAGCCACAATAGGTTTTATCTATATATAGAAGAAAAAAAGAAACATTAATTGATTCAGCACAACATTATTCAACAAGCGGAAATATTTTAAATGAATATCAAACAAAATTCATTTGCATCCTGTAAAAATAATATTAAATTAAAATAATTATTTTTCCACGTCGATTATTCGTCTGCACACGATTCAATGCTAATTGTTTTGTATATAGTTTTTTATTTGATATTCTATAGTTAGTTGAGAAACGCTTTTTTCCTCTATATTCATCATTCTTCTCATTGTTGATAAGAAGATCATTATTCATCACTGGAAAAATTGCTAACTCTTTGATATATATGCAATTACAAGATATATAATGAGACAGCATAATACTTGAGAAGTATTTGTGTCATTATTTCTATTGTTAGGAAAAATCTACTTTCATTTTCGTTGAATAATTATCGAAAGCAATAGTTTCTTCTATTTATTTTCTTCTCTAAGTCTCTCTCTCTCACTCTCACTCTCTCTCTCTCTCCCCTTTCTCTTATTATCCATGTCGTTAGAAACTCAAGTTATTATTATCTTACAAAAGAAAAAGAAGAAGAAGAGGAGGCAGACGAAAGATTCACTTAGAATTATTTTTGGTCCGATCAGTCTCTATTCTATTCTAGAGTGACAAAAAAACAGAAATATCGTTATGTCTTCCGTGAACAACACATTTATACATGATTCAAGTTGTAGACCCATGAGCTAGAACGGATTTATCAGTGAAGAAAAACTTAGATTTAAACTTAGCTATGACACCAATACAGAGTTTAATTTACATTCTACTGTTTTTATGTACCTATAAGGATCTATTACATTCTTTTTAAATTGATAGATATTATAAACCCTGAGACTGTTTGAAATCAAATCTCGACATCTTATCATGTTCTACTATATTGAGCGATCAATCAGGCTGCGCTTTCGCAGAAAATTTTCATGAGGTTGTGTGTATGTCTGTGTATCTGAAATCGAGATGAATCAATAGCAGAGTGCAGTTTAAATCTCTTACGAAGGAGGAAAATGAACACTAGAGAAATAAAAAGAATAGGAAACAAAAAAAGACCGATTAACATAAGGAAAAAAGAATAAACTCTTTCACTATAATTGATATCGTCGAGGCTCGCATTTCATGGAAATATAAACGTGATAAAGTAATTCCTAGGAAGATTAGCATACTCATCCTTATTATTCATTGTAGTATTCTATAAGTATATATAAAATAATGATTATCCGTTTTTCTTTTATTTTCTTTTCTGTCGGTGTAAGCTGTCATACATATTTAGAATGATGTGAATAGATAGAAAGTGTTGTTCACGAAAGATAGTACGAATTGAAAAAACAAAAAAAAAAGACGGAACTGCCTCCACGCAGGATTGAACTACGGACCTCCAGTTTACAAGACTGGCGCTCTACCACTGAGCTATAGAGGCTTCGAAACTAGACGATGAGTAAGAAAAGATCCTACTGAACCATAACTTTCGGTACATCAATTTCTTTTCAGGTTCATAACATCAGACTGACGAATTTTCAATTTTTTGCTTTTGTAATATTTTTCACATTTAATATGATAAGTAAATCAGCCTTAACGTGTTCTTTATTTTTTTTACTTTTTTAGCTATATATATATATATTGTCTCTATTTTTCGTATTTAATCTATCATAAACAGATTTTTTTTCCCGGCTCCTACATTCTCAAAGACAAAGTAATCATGATGATAGTATCAAATTTTGTCATCTTACAATTATCCATCGTTATTCTTTTCATGACTACATTTATAAATACAATGAATATATCACCATCAACCGCATTGGTAAATGAAATATCTCAGTCATCGGATGACGAGGTAAAATATCTCGGCGAAAAAAAACCTATTTCGTCGACATTGTTTTTTTCCGAATGTTTAGATCAATCCAACTGCTGTTGTCCCCAATCGTCATTTTACTCTTGAAGATTTAGAGTTAGCTGCAAGACCACTTGGGCTTACAGGTGACGAAAGCCAAAGCGACGAAGGAGATGAATACGATTATTCTCAATTGTCTAATTATGAAACAATGTGGCCACAAGATCTCACCAAACGTTATACAAACAAAGTTGCACGCGGTGGTAGTTTGAATGGCAATGGTGGTGACAGTCGTCTTTGGGCAATACCATACCGTTTTGGCAAACGAGCTGCTATGCCCTATCGATTTGGTAAACGTGCCGGCATGCATTTTCGACTTGGAAAAAAAAGCGCCACTTTATGAATCTTGTGTGCAATATTACTGTGAAACAATAATAAGAGAAAATTTTTATTTAGTTGTCTTGTCTGAAAATGTTGACCATATTGAGATGGTGGAAATGTATTAAATAAAAACAAATAAGGAATTTGAACTATATAATATAGAATTTTATAGACATTATACCAAACAGATAATTCTATCAATGGATAGTTAACGAATAGACACATGTTCCTACGGAGAAAGACAATCAAAATCAATTTAATTTAAAGTAACGTTTTTTTTTTTAACGAAGAGATCATCGTAAACGGCCCCGTTAAAAGCTCTGCTATTGCCATCAAAAATACGGCATCTAATTCTATGCGTCGATTTTGGTTTGTCATGAAGTTTTCCAGCTGCCATTCAAATTTGATCGACTTAAAAAAAGGAAAATTTTGTTCGACAGATGTCTCATTTGTCAGTTTTGTCAAATGCACAGGGATGATGATATTCATATGCGTTGACTTAAGATTAACATTTTTCGAATATATAAACCATTATTCCTCCATGAAAGTCATTTTTCAATTCAATAAAAGATAATCCTCTCGATGAAGGTTACACTGCTTACAGTAATAGTTGCTGCAAACAATATTTTAACTATAAATATTTATCATCGAAGCAATAACAAAGTTCAACACGTTTCTAAACAAAGAAACAAGTCTTTTTTTGTGAGCTGAAAATCCTTGATGCGTAGCTGACATGTATGTAAAAGTATAAAATTTCCACTAAAAAAAGTCAAAATGATACTATTGTTTCTATTAAGATCATCGAGGGATTTCAATCCTGAAAAAATACATGATAAACGTATGTAAAAATTTTGATTTAACATCGAATGAATGAGCCACATGATTGAACAAAACGTTTAATGACCAAGAGTATGAATCGTACGGATGCGTACGCAATAGAATAGTGAATAAGAAAAGGATTAGAAGTGATCAAAATAAAATGTAAACGGCATAGAGTAACAAAGCAGACATAGAAATGAATAAATACACACGCACACGCGACCAGACAAGAGACAACCGTACGACGGTTATTACAATTGAACTGTTAGTCTTCATCGGTTTGTGATGCAACTCACTAACTGTGCTTCTCATCGGTATTTTATTTGCAATTTGAAGACGTATTGTCTTGCACAGAATATTATATCATAGAAGTGAATTCAATGATATTATTATTATTGTTTTCTCTCTTATAACAAAAGAAGAAGAAGAAGAAGAACAACGATTCAACATTTTCAAAAGCTAGCAGAGAAAAATCGTCCCAGAAAGATTCTACAATTTAATTTTCATTCAAAAAATTATTGTTATTAGAAAATGAAAACATGCGAACTGCTTTTTTTTATACGTACCTTCTGTACGTTTCATCCATAGCAAACAGCATTTTCCGACAAAGTGAAAGAAACACAGAACATATCTTTAACTCTCATTATTGCGGAAGGAGAAGAAAGCTATTCCCACAACAGCGACGTCTATTTACAATCGAAGTCTAATGAAAAACAAAACATCGTTTCTCTCGATCGAAACTGATTCAATTCGATACGATCACTCCCTGCGAGTTCACATTTCGTTTTTTTCACCTTTCTATTCAGTTTTTCTATGCTTGACTAAAATATTTCTTGTCTATTTCTAAAGTGAAATTTTTCGTTTCTTTCCTATTGGATGTCACAAAAGTAGTCATGCGATTGTTCTAACTGTCTTGCAGAATTATTTTTCAATGCAATAGTAGAAATTTGATTAAGATGATTTTTTCAGGATATGTAATACAACGTGCTAATCCCAGTAGCGCTGACTACATTGTATGTTCTAATGCATGACCACCTAGTAGACATGCACATAAGCGCTTGCGTGTATATATATATATGTATTATCTTAGTACATCCGGTCACACGAGAGAACATCTTAGAGCATCATCGATAATAAACGACGAGCGAAAAAAAAAGAAGAAGAAATAGACTACCCATAATCCACCCAATTCGTTCGTTGTTGTAAAATTATCTATTTACATTAGAAGTATGGCATGTATTTGATAAATTCATAGTAAAATGAGTATCATTTCATAAACAAAGAAGAACATCGGGTAAATATTTACATTTTCAGCTTTTGCATTCATATTAAAAATAAATGTTGTCTTCCTAGGTATCAATCTGCATATTTTACTATTGAAATAGAAACTAGGCGAGTAGGAAAATTTCCTTGTTGAAAAGTTTCATAAAAGAGAAAAAAAGCAGGGATTATTTACATTCAGCTGTGTGAGACATCACTTTTTAATTATCTTCAAATGAAAAGCATTATGCAGTGTGTTTAGGTATCTTTTTTTGTTTTCAAGTCATTTTTAATCGTCACGATATGAACTGGTTATATTAAGTTCATTTGTTTTGTAGGACTAGCAAAAAGAAAAAAAAAAGAAACAATCAAAGAGACTCGAACGATCAATCAAAAAAGAGAGCACATTGTCTTTCTCTTGCTATTTCTTTTCTTCTCTATTCTCTCTTCGTTATTACTTCTAACATCATAAAAAAAATTACGCCAGCATCGGTACACGTCAAGGGAAAAAAGAAGTTCGTCTATCATATTTTTTTCTTTTTGTAGTTAAATCGATGTTAACAAAAGCGATTGATAAAATACATGCATTTTTTACAATACGTGGAAACTAGAATGTTCTTCTTACTTTTTTTGCCTCCAAATATTACGGATTAGTATTTGATGAATAAAAAACAGCGAGCAATAAAAATATTTCTTTCTGTTTATTCTAATCGACTATGCCAGATTCGTCAATGTCATTAAATCATCGATTCCATTTTCATGAATATAAAAATTATATTATTCCGACTAATTCAAAATCACGATTTCAACTACTTTACCTCATATTTACTATTAATTTAGTTCTTTTTATAATAACTTATCATCGTCTTATACTCGTAAAATCTTCGTCAATTAAAAATTTTCTCATCACCAATCATATCGAAGACGACGAACAAATATCTTCGATTTGTGCTATACCCCGTTTTGATCCATGGGATCAAACTGTTTCGAAATTATTACATCCCCAATCATTATATCGTTGTCCGACAAATAAACGAAACTTAATAAATGTTATCAATTATACGCAATTATTTATCAATCAAACAGTAAATAGAACAGATTTTTCTAGTTCAATAACACATTGTGTGTATTTAAAAATCGACCGAAATCCTGAAGAAAAATATTTTCGTGATTGGTCTTATACATTATCGGAACCAATACTAATCACTAATGGAAGTACAGATGCAATTCTAGACGTTGATTTTGTTCTTACGCGTTGTTTCAATAATCGAACGGGATATTTCAATGGAAAAAAGTTTTGGTAAGTTGTTTTAAACGATTAAGAAAATATAACTTTTGAACGGTAAGCATTCTTGAAAATTATCATCTGCAAAAGTATTTCACTGGAAGAAAGATCACATTTTCCAGTAATTGATCCGATGAGAGAAGGAGAAAAAAAGTAAAAATATGACTCTTAATAGAATCTGGCACACTACATTCATGGAGATGAACGCATGCCTTTTAAACTATAAACTAAGGATAAAGTAGCGGTGCAAATTAAATTTACCTATTAGAAGCAAGCATTCCGAACTTGTTATTCTGTGTTAACCATGAATCTGAAAGATTATTTTATCCTATATGAATTAGAAAATAATATAACTAAGCCGTTTTATTTTTTACTATAGAGATTTAACTACTAGACATAAGCTGATTTTTGTTGTTGAATATTTCAGTTGCATGAGCTTTACTGAATTCCTATTAGAAAGACTTGATAATTAGATTTTCTTTTTTCATTGTCAAATTCATTAGTTACAATTTGGTGTAAATGCTTTTTTTGCAACTACTGTTATTCCATAGACAAGCTGATGGCCTTCTTTTAAAAAAGATCAGTGTTGAAACTCTACACTCATAATTCGTTTACTAAATACAATTATTTAAGAACTTCGGAACTTTGCTCGCCTATGCAATTCTATCCATAAATCTATACATTTTATTCCTTCTCGTTTCGAGTGTTGGCATTAACATTGATTTAAATACAAAAGAGACATGAGAACGATGCAAGCTTGAGCTAAATGTATTTCGCAACGATGACGAAGCGAAAGTTTTTTTTTTCTTGAAGATTCTTTTTCTAAATAGAATTTAGAAAAAGAGAAATATTTAACTGTTTTTGTGTGACATGGAAACGATTAGTGTAAAATTTTACAGGTGGATTGTTTGAAAGAAACATACCCACTGCGTTGTGTGAGGTCCGTTGTAAAAATATTATTTATAATATATTCTGACTAACTTAATTATGAATGAGAGAAGAAAATGTATGGATTGATTGATTACGCTGGTAGATGAAAAAAAAGAGACGCAATTAGCCTTCGTGTTGAATAGAGAAAATATGTAGAGAAACAAAAAGTCGACGGTGGCATTATTCAAATAGGCGTGCCTCTCCGCTTCTCAAACCCCGGAGACAAGTTGTCATCTTATTAATGCAAATGAATCGAATGCCCTATAAGAAAATCTTTCAGGAAAATATGATCTTTCATCGCGTGTATATTAAAAATAGCTCATCAGAGAAGACAGGTAGTCTATCCTATTGTGTCGGTGGCTCTATTGAAGAATGCTTACTGAAAAGATTTTGTTTGCAGACTTTTTTTCCATTATTTTTCTTTGTTTGAAGCATTCAAAGAAGTAACATTGCCATTTAATAGCAAGTCACGTCAGTCTATAACTAATTGAAATAATTGAATAACAAATGTATTGCATACTGATCTAAAGACAGAGTTAATCAGTACATACAGCTGTTACTAAAGAATATTCTTAATGATGGCTTCTTTTTAACCGAGAACTTTTGTTGCCAAGAGTCCGAAAGATTAAGCTGCTTAGAAATATGTTTGTAATTTCACGCTATGACAAAACTTGTTTACCGAGTATAAATAATTTATAATTGAAAGATTAGCGTCTAAGAACGTGTCAAAACTCAGTTCTCACTTTCGATGTGGCATCTTGTCTTTTTCTTGCATTATAAGCTGACAGTTCATATTCAGTTCTCGATGATTTCAAGAGAAAAAAAACAATCGAAAACCATTATTAGAAATATTCCGTTCGTTGAAAGTTAACTCGAGAGAAAAAGTCACCTAATATGAAGGTATCAGTAAGAAAATAGTCGAACTCAACTCGAGTCATGATTTTTTAATTTTGCTAAATTATTCATTTCTCTATACTTGAATTATTATCATGGCTCATTTTTACACCGCTCTGTATTCATTTTATAGTGCAGCTAGAAACCAGACAGGCCTTTGAAAATAATTAAAAACTGTCGTCACTTGGTAAAACATAGGCGTACTATTGAAACGGGATCAAACATCCAAAATAAAAAAAATAGAATAGACCGAAACACTTGGCAGGCCTTTCTTCAATTTGTGTCAAAATTAAATAGAGGAAATTGAACTAGTCAATATGAATTAGGATGAATAACGGCAGCAGCATGCAGCAAAGCTATGCATGGGAAAAGACGCATAGCGTGTCCAACATAAATAGATGATGAAGGGATTGTTTTCATCAGTTCTATCTCTAATAAAATATAGCATTTACACAGTGGAACACTTCATTAGAAATTCAAGACAAACACAATGATGACAATGTTATTCTTATAAAGCTGACAAGAATGTATGATGAAAGTTTTATTAGATTAGTGATGTAGTTTTTTGTACTTTATTAACATCGTAAACTTGAAGAGAAATTTATCTTTGCGGGATTGAGTTGTCTTTAATGTGATAGTGAGTATGGATCTGAAACATTCATTACACTGATCAAAAATTTTTTCTTATCAGGATCAATATGACGGTTATAGGAAAACTCAGAGACACTGAGAAAGAGTTATTTTGATGATTTCTGTTTTTTCTTAAGAATAAAAAAATGTTAAATTGAATTTTCTATTATTCTTTAGCGGTTACAATTGTTCATCTGAAGGTACAACAAATCAAATATTTAATGGATCTTCATTAATATCTGAAAACAGCAGTCTAGTCTATGAATATGTTCATCCATTAGTTCGTTTAAAAAAACCAACATTCTCTCATAACGTTCAGATAGAGAAAAAGCCGGACGGTTTTTCCACAAAAAATATTTCATCTAATCATTCTCCACCATCTGTAATTATGGTTATACTCGATGCTGTTAGTAATCTTCAAGCGCAACGTGCTCTACCACGAACATTAGACTATTTAAAATCTCTTGGTTTGTATACATTTCAAAGTCATGCCATTGTCGGCGATGGTACATTTGAAAATATTGTTCCAATGTTATTCGGTAAAGCAGCTGTTGATCTATTAGTTCCAAATGTAAATGATAGTCGATATGAATTTTTGGCAACTGAAATTGAAATCGATCCAAAAACGAAAAAGTCGAAAGAAATTAAAAAAATTGTTCACTATCCTGGACCCTTTGATAATTATTCGTTGATAGTAAAAAATTTTTCGCGATTAAATTATACAACATTTTTTAGTGAAGAATGGCGTGAAAGTGCGTTTTATAATTTAAAGAATGGTTTTCGTCAAACACCGACAGACTTTTATTTGCGTCCATATTGGTTAGCATTATATGAAACATTATCCTATAATAAATATGCTGGAAATTCGAATCCTAAACCGTGCTATTTAGATGAGTTATTACATCGTTTATCATTGAATTGGTTGAAACAATTCTTAGAAGTTCACCATAAAACACCGGACCATCGAACGTTTGGTATAATGAAAATTAATGAAATGAGTCATGATTATTTAGAAAGATTATTTTGGATTGATAAAGATTTGGAAACATTTTTTCAAGATTTATTTCAACGAAATTTATTAGATAATACAATATTAATATTTTGTGGTGATCATGGACACCGACAACATCAGCTGAGACTTACGCGTGTTGGTAGTTTTGAAGTTAAATTACCTTTTTACTCAATGATTTTACCTCAAACGTTTAAAGAAAAATTTCCGCAAGCCACTGAAAACCTCAGAAAAAATCAACATAGTAAGTTTTATTCAATCGGTTAACGAAGCTTTTCCCAGCTTAGAAATGATGATATTCGATGATGAAACATTATTTATTCCTCTTAAAATAACAGTGTTCGCTTGTCAATAATATTTATTTATTTTCTTCAAGAATATACTTGAGAATTATGAGCGCGTAGCTTCAGATAACATATTTTTATACCATAAACATTTTAATAGGACCATTAAATAAGTTATCGTTGGAATATTCCAATTCTCAACATCAAAATAGTTGCAAAAGTGCATTTTTAAAAGGTCAGAAATGGTTTTCCGCTTTCCACAATGCTATTCTGTTAAGCAATAAATGAATCATACAAAATGATTTGCACGATTGTCGAAGATTTTTTTCTCGAATAGAACACATTAATAATCCCTTTTCAACAACAAAAGAAAACAGTATATTTATTTTCTTATGACAAAGAAACAAATTTCTCGAGAGGTTTCTATTGAATTTTGGTTTTTACTAATTCGATTATCATACTAGTGCTGACATCATGGTGGGATGTGTATGAAACATTTGCTAATATTTTAAAAATGGTTGAAGAACCCGATCTATTCGATCCTCTTCGCGTGAATTGGCGTCCGACTACGTCCGGTATATCACTCTTTCATCCTATACCTGAACGAACTTGTTTATCAGCTGGTATTAGAGGTAAGATAGGACAGAAAACAGAATAGCGATTATTTTATCTTTTATTTTTTTTTATTCAAGATAAATATTGCCCATGTTCGCGTGCAAAAGCATTCGACACAAATTTATCTATTGTAAAAGAATTAGCAACAGCCAGTATCAAACATATAAATAATGTTTATTTAAAAGCTCATAGACATCTATGTATGGTATATACTCTTAAGACTGTAATTCGTGCTGAAGCTGAAAAATTTCAAAACACAAACTCAACAAGTACTAATGATTCCGTGCGAAATAATTTCACACATCTATTTACGGTACTTTTCGAAGTACTACCATCGAATGCAATATTTGAAAGTAATATACTCTATAATGAACCAACAAACACTATTAAGTTGCACAGTGACATTCTTCGAATTAATCTTTATGGTCGAACGTCAGAATGTATAAAAGATAAATATCAGTTACGTTCGTTTTGTTATTGTATGTCGAACTATCGACAAAACAAAAATTCTCGATGGAAAATTAGTTTAAAAAAATATAATATTTCAATGCGTCATATACGAAAGAGGAGAACTAGCAATTAACTTTTTATTCGTTTCTTTTTTAATTTGTTTTCCAGTGTGATCGCAGGCGGTCATCATTTTGTTATTTATTTTTTGTTGCAATCTTCCGATTATTTGAAAATAAAATGAGGAATAGCTCGATATTTAACTAATTAAAACTGAAACTTTAAAACCTGTAATAAAGCGAGTTCGCCAAAAACGTTATTCATTATGAAAGCGCTTGAATGACTGATGCTACAACATTTTATGTTAATTCTTTATATGGTTTTCGCTGCATTCATATTCTAAATTTTAACAATCAAGAAATCATTCATTCTTGAGTCATAATATTTATTTCAAATGATCTTTCTTTTTTTCATTTTTATTTCTTTCCAATATTACCAATCAAACCAAGTCCCATAAGAAATTCAAGATTAGCCACAACTGATTGGTCTATACAGGGAAAAAACAACGTAATATAAAAAATAGTACAAAAAAAACGTTTACTCACCAACACAATTATTGTTAAGTAAAACATAATTTGGACAGCATTTATAATCTTCAGGAGCACAGGATGTTTGGGAATTTGGTACGAGATATGTTACAACTGTATGTTGAGTTACCATGCTAGAAAAAATAAACTAGTATTAATTTATTGCTAATTAGTCAAATATACTAACAATGTTTCGGTGTTATAAATTGGTTTCCACATACATCCGGATGCTGTCGAAGCTGAACCGCCACCGGTTGAAGGTGTTACTTGACCTCCTGTGTTAATCGGACGATCTGTTGCAGTTGGAATCGGAATTGGTGGACCTGTAATAGAAAAGGATTCTAGTTTTGTTTTTAATATTATCAGATAGATAGACATACGAGTTGGATTCTTATTTCCATGGCAATCCTGATAACCAACTACAACGGTATGTGTTTCTGGTACTAATGAAGTTTCTAGTTTAGAGAATACTTCGTCCTTGTTAATATGTTGCCAATTGGTACAACAATATCCATGGGTACTAATGGATATAGAGTGGGTTACGTCGCGAGATAGAAAAAAAAAGGAAAATATTTACTCTTTATCCGGATTAGCGGCGCGTTTTGTATTAATTTCGTGGGCCAAATGTTTATATTTTTCCGGTAGGGATGCTAAATCGCGATCAAGATTTTCAATAAATTCAGGCAATGCAGATATCTAAAGGGTACGGCACAATATTTGAAAACTTCAGAAGGATCATAGAAATATAGACTACCTGCAAAGCTAGAGCAATTAAACAAACGATTGTAACTCGAAGCATGGTTTTTAAAAATAAGGAGTATAAGTTACTGAATGGAATGTATAATACAACATATGTGTGTATATGTTGGCGCGAGAGAAACAGATGGTTTTTACTCTCATGCATAGAAATCAGGCGATTATCATCAATACGAGCACTAAAAAAATATAAATACAGAAAAATGATTTTCTTTGATAAAAATCATTGGATATTTGTAAAAAAAACAATAAGTCAGAATGCAATAATAGATTGTTTTATGAAAACAAAATATTGAATAGTGATGAAGTTGAATGAACAGCGCTAAGATCTCATTCATCGATAGTAGGAAGCTATGCAAGCTAAAAATTATATTAAATCAGTTCGTTAGTTTTTCAGGTCTGATTATCATTAATTGGTATGGTCTTATACCTGATAGAACTTCTGAAGGACAATCTATTTCAATGCATTAAAAATCTTGAAATGCAACCGATTATAGATGTAGTCGAATGTATTCATTAGAAGAATTTTATTTTCTGAGCTTTCTGACAGCACGTTCTCAAGTATTTTAGCCATGATGAAATAGATACGGTGATCGTCTTTGTGTCTCGATGAATGAATACTTAACTACCCAGCTAATTACACGAACTAGAAGTCACAAAGACAAAATGTTTTAGGAAAACTTATTACAAATCTAATGACAGCTTGACATCAAGTGATCTTTAAACATAAATATTTTCTCTTAGAGCTGATTTCTGCAGATTTATTTACTTATAAATAAATTGCTGGAAGCCTCAGTTTACTACTAATTGTTTTTTACATTTTTCGAAAGAACTAATCGATTCTTTTTAATGAATTTTACCGCCCTTGGAGAAAAATATAAAATACTTACATGATAGCATTGAGTCGATTTTCATCACTCGAATGAAATTTATTATTTTACTGATAGCTTTTACTAATACCAGGGCTCATGCTAGCTGAAAATTGAATCGTTCGCAAGTCAAGAGTTGCTGGTGCATCTTTATTGTGGATTCGGAACTTTTGTTCTGGCTAAAATTCGAAATTTTCTCCCCATAATTTTCTAGATATGATTAAAATCCAAAGTCATGCTTATTTCAACAAATGGCACCTTCAAATGAACATAAATAAACATTAAACAGTGTCATCTATTGGCATAAATATTTCAGTTTTTTCTAATGTTTCTAACTATTTATTTATTAATATTATCTATGATTCTCTCGAAAGCAGTATTTTCAAATAATTAACAAAACAAATTATGAGATGCGATTGAATGCAAACTTTAAAATTCCAAGTAACTATTTTCATCAAAAGTAAAATATAACTGTAGAGAAAAAAACAGCTCTTTTCTGTTAAATCTACGGATTAGTTAATTTAATAGTTGTTTTTGATAGATCAGCATTGTCTTGTATAACAAGTTCAGTTAGTTCTGTATCATTATGAATAATAGATATAGTACGTGATAGATTTGCTTTTTGTAAAAGATCCATTAGAAGATTGACGACAGTTTCAGTAAATTGATTTTTATCAATTGTTTCAATGGATGATTGATTATCATTTAATATTGTTTGGTTCTCTACCAATGGCATTTTATTCTCGATTATTGTTGTTTTATTTTCATTGAATACTGTCTCATTGTAATTATTAAAAATAACCATTGGTTCACTAGTGTCCGTTTCAGTGAAATCTAAATTTAGTAGAATTTTATTTTATTTATGTAGAATAAGAAGATAGCTAGTTTACTTGACGAATTAAATACTTGAACGATACCCGTATGAATATTACCAATGAAAAGCAGAAAGAAAACAACGATGATCATTGTGAATAGAAACTCTCGAAATGTTATTGAATTGTTTCTTTTTATGTTTCAGAGTTTTAACTTCTTATCTCAATAGCAGACTGTTCAACAATCGTACTCATTTGATTTAATGAGCAACATTTGTTACTATTCTTCTTCTTTCTATTGCGCCTAGAACAATTCATAGTGATTGAATACAAACAATTGGCTCAATTGCATCACAATATTCTATTGAAATTGTATATCATCTGTAATTTATAATTGGTCATATCATGTTTATTTTTTGTGTAATGACTCCAAGTCACATGATGTTTTCTTATGATCAAAAATGAGATGATTTCAAATGCCGTTGATTTGACATGATCAGAAGTTATTCCTTCGTAATGTCTGTTTTATTCAGAAGAGTGCACTGTAAAAAGGTTGAAAGAACACTTGACTTTAGAGAACATCGACAAACATGATATGTCTAATAAATATTGAATCTGAACCAATAGTAACATTAATGAGTAATGTTTTTGAAAGCAAATATATTTCAATTTTGATATATATATATATATATATATATCCTCAGGTGATATGTTTTCTTTTGTATTTGATGTATTCAAAAATGCTCAGAGATCATTTTCTCTCTAAAATGAACGGTACAGAAAAAAAGCAGTTAAGTTTAACACGAAATCGTATGCGCAATAAATACACGGATATGATTAGCAATGCAAAAATACTAATTACCCGTTGGTATCTACAAGTTGGATCAATTTCAGTCATCAAAGATTATTCGCTCTTACGTAGAAAATCATTTCACTATTTAAATAAATGCTCAGTGTTTCATGGAATCCAACATGTTCACAGACTGCCTGTTGAAATGCATCAGGATATGTGCGATAACGTTTTCCTTTAATACTTTTATAACGATACATCGTTCTACCAGAGAAGCACGATT